TATTTTTAATATATTAGGTATTAAATCTCCTTTTTTTTCTTCAGAATAGTAGGTAGAGGTGTTCTGTAATTCCCCCCAATCTTTAAGTGGTTCTCCTTGCTTCTCCTTCACATACACAGTAAAACTATTTGTTGTCATTTTATATATTTTTTTAGCCTCTGAAAAAATTTTTTTTTCTTTAAATAACTATTTGGAATATTTAAATTTTTTTTGTGTGTCATTTTCTTTCAAAAATTCTTCCAAAAATGACCACCTTATTTTTTCTTTTAAATTATTTAATTCTTTTTTTTTTACTCAACGTTCGTCTACCATTTATGTGGTCACTTTGCTTATTTTAATATTTAAATATTCATTTATTTTTTCTTTTCCTACTGTAGCATTTTAAGTTTGTAAATATAGGGTAAATAATATATAGGGGTAAAACAAGTTTTACAAATCAGAATTTGTAATTGTCAACTCAAAAACTTTTTTTTACAAATTCTGATTTCTTTAATAAGACTGAACATTGCAGACCTTCGTTATAAATATTAATCAGAATTTGTAATTGTAAGATTAAAAAATTCTGATTTATTTTTGTGGGCATAATTTTATAAATTTTTATTTTGAAATATGTCTGATTCGCGCTTTTTATCAGACATGGTCATGGATACGGATATGGATACAGATAATACCAAAATGCCTGCGGATATCCGCCTGTATCCGCCGTAAATATCCGGATACGGATATAAAAATCCGTATCCATGTCCTAGTCTGCTTTTTATAATCAGAATTTGTAGTTGTAAACTTAAAAAAATTTTTTTTTTACGAATTCTGATTTACATTAAATTCTTCGGGCAAGTAACTTTATTTCAATTTAATTTTTTATTTCACTTTCCTTTAACAATAAATGATTTTCTTTTGGATATTCTGATGAATACATATACTGAAAATTAAAAAAATCCTTCCTAGCGTTCCTGGACTATTTTTAAATTATTCAAACAATTTTGTATTCTTATTTTTTCCTCAACTTTTTTTTTCAATTTACTCCAAAAAAATATTCTTCACTTTTCCCGTCGGTTATTTTAATATTTTAACAAAAAATAGGTGAATATTGTGGAACGGTCATTCTTTGACCATAAAAGAAGCTTTTTTTCTGTCTCTATTTTTCCATTTAATATAAATTTGCATTTTTTCCTTTTTACGGTCAAAAATATGTCAACAACCAAGAAGCCGACAAGGGACATTTAAAAAAATAAATTTAAAATTTATATACATATTATTTTTAAGTGGACATACTTTTTATTTAATCTACTCGAAGGTCTCGTAAGGCAAAGATATTTAGTAGCTTTTGTTAAAAATCGTCGAAACCGGGACGCCCTGGTATGGTTTGATGCTATGGTTTGATTTTCTATTAATTCAAGTTTTACAAAATTACAAACTTGGAAACTTAAGTTTACAATTAAATTGTTATTAAAAAAGTTGTCAAACTTGCAAACTTGCAAACTTGATTTTTAAGGTTTTTACTTGATTATTATTCTGTTTTTTCTTCTTTTACATTTTATAAAGTTTAATTGTTTTACAATCTCAATTTTATTTTCTTTTCACCCATTTAATTTAATTTTTTTAAATATTCAGATATTCAATTAATTTTCTGAAATGGACCAATTTCATTCAAATTTACTTTTACTTCAATGCTCACGCCTTAAAACACCGCCGCAGCCTTTTGACTGTGCTATTCGAGTGTTTGCATCTGATGAATTTGGATCTGAATCTAAAGGTGATTTTTATTTTTTCAAAGAAAGAAATTTTAATTAAAAAATAAATTAAAATTAAAAAGAAAATCTGGACAATTTAGAATTTAAAAACAAATTTAAATTTTTCTTGTTTTCCTTGTTTTTCTTTTAGAAAATACGTGGAAAATAAAAATAAAATATTTATAAAAGTTTTAAAAAAGTTAAAAAGGAAGAAAATTCTCTTGAAATAGTCACACACAAATTTTATAAAAATAAAAAGGAATTAAATTATTAAGATCGTGTTCGCATGTGTTTCACGTTCAATAACGCGAGAAAGATTTTACCTTTATTTTAGAGTTTGGTACCATTCGATAGAGAATTAAATCAGTTATGACCTAACAGAATATCAGAATTTTTTATTTTTGTATTAAAAAGTTGTACTTAAAAAACTGACAATTTTTACATAAATGGATTATTTTTTTGAGTTTTCCGATGGCATAGTTTTTCTTTATTATCTGAAAATTTTGTGTTTTATATCATTTTATAGCAAATTTAATTCTCTATCGAACGATACCAAATTTTTCTTGAATAGTTTCTATAGTATAAAATTATATGGGTTTTAAATCATCCTTGTCTAGCTGTTCATCAGGTGTACTTAAGTTAGTTTTTCGATAACAACATTCTCTTTCATTATCCAAAAATTTTGCTTTATCTGTCATTTTATAGCCAATTTAATTCTCTATCGAATGATACCAAATTGGTTCTGGAATAGATTTTTTATTGCAAAGGTATAGGGGCTTAAATCATCTATGTCTATGTAGCTTCTTACTCTTAAGCTGTATATTTTTTGACAGTAACATTTTTTCTTATTACCCAAAAATTTTATTTTTTACATCATTTTATAGCAAATTTAATTCTCTATTTGATGATACCAAATTTGTCTGGAACAATTTTTATAGTATAAAGTTATAGGGGTTTAAAGAAGTATAATATAGATGTAATATAGATGCTCAATATCTAGATGTATGTATATATCTAGATGCTCACCCTTAAGTTGTTAAGTTCATTTATTTTTTTTTCAAAATTTTCTCCATATCCAAAAATTTTGCTTTATCTATCATTTTATAGCAAATTTAATTCTCTATTGAACGATGCCAAATTGGTTCTGGAACGATTTTTATAGCAAAAGTTATAGGGGTTTAAAGAAGCTCACCCTTAAGTTGTTAAGTTGTCTATTTATTTTTTTTCAAAATTTTCTTCAATTTTCCTCCCTTCTTTTTTACCTTTTCCGTCATTTCTTGTTTTTAAATTATTTTCTTGTCTGTTCACAACTTTCTTTTTAACAAATTTTGTGCAAAAAAAGGTCGCGCAGACGTAAAATGGAAGGGAAATGAGTGGAGGTTAGCCTTACCTTTTTTGGCCTCTCTCGAAATTCAATGAGACGTTCGTTTAGGTAGCCCAAGGGGGTTCAAAACAACCTTTTCCTTCTTTCATTTTTCCCTTTTTTTAAATTTTTTGATGTGCATTTTATTTTTTTTTATTTTTTTTGTCGGTGGTAAAGAGAAAAAGAGGAGGGGAGGGGAGGGTTTTTGGGTGTTCACTAAACTAAAGAAAAATTTTTTTCCTCTCGAATCAACGTGTGTTTTCTCTTTTAATAGTAATTTACAGACTGAGAGAATTCAGAAAAATTTGTTTTAAAAATATTCTTTTTGGTACAATTTTTAAAATTTAAGTTTGAATTTAATTAAATTAAGTGTAGACTGATTTTTCTTTCAAGGTTTTTTACAGCTTTTAAATAAAAGAAAATATTCTGATATTAATTTAAAAAATAAATCAGAATAGAGGAAAACAAGAAAAATTTTAAAAATATATTTTTTTATTTATCCAAAATAAATTCACAATTTTTAACTACCTAGTAATTAAGGAGGAACATTTCAAAAATTACCATAAAAATTAGAAAACGCAAACTTAAGTTTTACAATTGTAAAATAATTCAAGTTTAATTAAATCAAGTTTAATTAATCCAAGTTTATTTAATTCAAGTTTTAATAATCCAAGTTTTAATAAACCAAGTTTTTAATCAGGTTGCAATTGTAATTTAATTTTGAAATTGTAATTCAAGTTTTAATAAACTTATAATAATCCAACTTTAATTAATTCAAGTTTATTATTAAACGAATTAATTAAACTTGGATTATTAATTTTACCATTGTAAAACTTAAGTTTGTGTTTTTCAAGTTTAATTATCCAAGTTTCAAGTTTAATTACCCCAAGTTTTAATCAAAGTTTTAATAAACTTAAAATAATTCAAGTTTGTAAACTTTACCTTCTATTTTAAACTTAATTGTAAAAACCAAGTTTTTAGTCCAGTTGAATTGTAATTTAATTTTACAATTTTTGATTTATTTAATTTAATATTATTTTATAAGTTAAAAAATAATTGAATTTTTATTCCCTTCAAAAATTTTCACAAAAAGTTTCCCCCAAAAAATTTTTTTTCAATTTAGAACACCTAATATTTGTCCACAGTAATATAATATCAACTAAAAGTATTATTCTACGTTCACAACTGGATTCACAACCAACAATTGCGCTAGCGCGCTTTTTACTTTTGTTGCATGCTAGAGAAGAAGGGGCAATTCAGGGGCTAGCTGCTAATGGGGCTTTAAATAATGAATTACGTGAAATTAAATTGGGTATGGGAGGAAATATTTAAAAATTAAAGAAATTAATTTCCTTAAAGATCTCTCAGCATTACAAAACGGTTTAGAAGCGTTTAAACAATTTATAAATTTTCTTTACGGTGATCAATCCGCTGCTATTGGTGGTAGTGTCTCTGATCAGGTAGATAAATTTTAGATATAAAGTTTAATTTGGTATTATCTCGAATTTCATTCTGAGGGATTTAAACTCAAAAGACTAGATGATAATTGTGCTAGGATTGATGGATCTTGGGAAATCTCCGTGATATCCAAATCTGGAACCGAATTTTTATTAAAGTAATAGAAGGTAGAACAGAGGGTGGTCGATTTCGAGCCCTATACTCAGTCCACAGGCATCTCCGAAAAAATAGCGGAACCGTTCGACTCAGGACTTCTTATTACCCTATATATATGACATTTTTAGTAGTAATTTAGGGGGAAGTGATCCATACGGTCATCACGGAAAAGTACCCTCTTATTTTTAAGTTCTGATTTTACTTCACAATTAAAAAATTAAAAATGTACCTTAACATTATTACTAGTCTGATTTTTTACAGTTTAAAATATTTTAAAATTTTATTTTCAGTTACTTCTTCTCTCCAAATTATTCGCCGTTCCAGATTTAGAAATGTCTATACGGTCGTCAACAATTTTAGATCTTCTTAAAGTTAATATAGGAGGACAGTCATTAGAATCTCAATTACCTTGTAATACAACTCAGGGCAGTAGTGGAATAAATAATTCTAGTAATGGTATTTCACTACCAGAACAACTAGCAAATATTGGGGGATTTGTAAATAATAACAATAATGCTTCGCCGTTTAACTCCCTGCCCCTATATGCTGGTAAACTATAGAAGCATTTTTACTTTTAATAAATTCTGATTTTTTAAAAATAATTCTGAGTTAAATTCTGATTTTAAAAAATGATTCTGATCTCTAGAAATTAATTCTGATTTAATTTTTGATTTTTAAGAATTAATTCTGTTTAAATTCTGATTTTTTAAATTAATACTGATCTAAAATTCTGATTTCTAAAATTAATTCTGATTAAATTCTGACTTTAAAAATAATTCTGATTAAAAATTCTGATTTTAAAAATTAATTCTGATTAAAATTCTGATTTTTTAAAGATAATTCTGTTAAAAATTCTGATCTTTAAGAATTAATTTTGATCAAAATTCTGATTTTTGAAAATAATTCTTATCAGAAATTCTGATTTTTAAAATTAATTTTTAAAAATTAGCAGCCTATTTACAAATGCAGCAATCATTGTTATTTGCCAACCAATCTTCTAATACTACTACATTCCTTCAAAATCCACAACCAGCTTCAATAACACAACTTGAACAACCTAGGAAACCAAATTTTGCGACTATGTTTCGAGATAAACACCGGTAATTTATTTTTTACAATTATTATTATTTCTACAATTCTGTCTTCTCTTAGTTGTGTTTTACAAATTCTGATTTTATTTTTTTACAAATTCTGATTCTTTTATACTTTTTACAATTCTGTTTTCTCTTAGTTGTGTTTTACAAATTCTGATTTTATTTTATAAATTCTGATATTTTATTTCACAAATTCTGATTTTTATTTTTTACAAATTCTGATTTTTAATTTTCACAAATTCTGATTTTTAATTTTCACAAATTCTGATTTTTATTTTTCACAAATTCTGATTTTTAATTTTCACAAATTCTGATTTTTATTTTTCACAAATTCTGATTTTTATTTTTCACAAATTCTGATTTTTAATTTTCACAAATTCTGATTTTTAATTTTTACAAATTCTGATTCTTTTAGTTTCATAATTCTGATTTTATTTTTGTTTTACAATTCTGATTTTTAATACCTTATTTTATTTACAAATTCTGATTCAGTTCCTTTCCCTTCCCCTTTTATATAATTACTTTCATTCCTTTCTAGTCATTTTCCTCCTTATTTTTAATCCTCCCACAAACATTTTTATATACTTTTAAGAATTCATTCATTAATCCTTTGAAAGAGAGAATATTCTGATTTGCTTCTTAAATTAATCACTTTTTGTTTCTTATCCGGTTTTTAATTTTTTTGGCTAATTTACAGCTTAAATTATTTTTTGATATAAGTACATTCTATAAATTTCCGGAATTTTTAGAATTCCATTTAGTAAAAATTAAATGAAGAAAATATTTTTTAATTAAATAAATTTACCAAAAAAATGAAAAAAAAATTTTAATTTCCAGGTCAGATTCAGATAACGATATTATTATTGGAGAGGATTTACAACAACATAATAATCAACAATTATTAGATTCACAAAATCCTTTAATGGCTCGACGTGAGAGCAATGCATCTTCAGGCTCCTCTTCTATTCATTCTTCTATTGGCAACGAAAATAATTCAACAATTGCTATGGGTGAAAGTGGAGGTGGAGGAGAGTTGTTACTCCCACCAAATGATAAAGAAGGTGAGATGAAGTTTATTTATATAAAATTACAAATTGTAATAATGTAAACTACAAACTGAAATAAGTTTTACAATTTGTAAAATATTAAATTAGATAAATTTACAAATTGTAAAATAAGTTTTAAGCTTTAAAACTTTTTACAATTTGTAGTTCAGATTTCAAACTTATTTTACAATTTGTAGAATAAGTTTTAAAACATTTTTACAAATTGTAAAATAGGTTTATTTTTGTAAAACTTGAATTTGTAAAAACTTGAAAGTTGTAAAGCATTAATAAATATTAAAACTTTAATTGTAAAACTTTATTTTACAATTTGTAAAAATATTAAAACTTGAAAATCTAAGTTTGAGTTAAGTTTGATTTAAGTTTTATAAAACCAAAACTTAAGTTTTTAAGTTTACAATTTATTTAATAAACATTTCTACTCAATTTCAGGTTGGTGTCGAAATAAAAAATACATTCAAATTGTAAAGATGGGTTATCGCTGTCTTTTATGCAACAAAGTTTATGGTCGTTACAATTCTGTGGGTTTTTTTCAAATTTCTAGAGAATTTTCTAGCTATAACCAACTTCTTTAAAAACATCATCTTTTCTTAGTTGAAAGTTTAAGGGAATATATTCGTCATTTTAATTACCAAATTAAGCATAAAGTAGAGGGAAAAGGGATTATAAATATAATTTACTATAGTATACTAACTTGGTTCTTTTATGGAAATAAAGTCCTGTAAATATTTACTAAAAAAATAAATACAGTAAGGTGATAAAAATACATCAAAAATTATTCATTAAAAAATTTAAAGGTTAGTTACCATGTTACAATTTATCATCGAAACCCTCCTATACGATGTGAGGAACAAGGATGTCAATTTACTACCCGTGAAGCTCGTTATATACACTTTCACAAATATTATCGCCATCAAATTGCACTACCGGAATCTATCGATCTGGGTAATTAAAAATTACAAATTGTAATTATGTAAAAAAGAACTGAAATAAGTTTTACAATTTGTAAAAATATTAAATTATAAAAATTTTACAAATTGTAAAATAAGTGTTAAGCTTTAAAACTTTTTTTTGCAATTTGTAGTTCAAGTTTCAAACTTAGTAACTTATTTTACAATTTGTAGAATAAGTTTTAAAACATTTTTACAAATTGTAAAATAAGTTTTTTTTGTAAAACTTGAATTTGTAAAAACTTGAAATTGTAAAGTATTAAATATTAAAACTTTAATTGTAAACATTTTACAATTTGTAAAAATATTAAAACTTGAAAATCTAAGATCGAGAAAAGTTTAAGTTTTGTAAAACTTAAGTTTTTCAATTTGTAAAATAAGTTTTAAGCTTTAAAACATTTTTTACAATTTGCAGTTCAAGTTTTAAACTTCTTTTTACAAATTGTAATTTATTTACAAACTTCACAATTTCAACTAAAATAAAGTTTAAAAAAATTACAAATTGTAAAATTTATTTGTAAAAAAATTTTTTCAGCTTCACGTAAATGTCCTCTACTTGGTTGTAAACATGTTTCAAAAAGTCCAGCAATGTTAGAAAAACATATGCAACGACATGTTGCAGATTGTCTTAAAGAAGGGGGATCATCTTCTATTTATATTTGTAGAATGCCCGTAATTAATGGAAGTATTACAACAAAGGAAGATGAAAATATGGATAGCATGGAAAATAATGATCCAGAAATTAATAAAACTTTAAATATGGTTAAGTCAATGAAGGAAAGAAGAAATACTTATTCTGGTGGATGTTCTGGTTCTTCTGTTGGAGGGCAATGCTTGTTTAAAGCAAATTCGAGAGAGGTGAATAAATTTAAATCTTTTGAGTTTACAAACTTTAAGGTTTGCAAATTGTAGATAATATATTGTAAAACTTGAAAGAATGTAAAACTTAAAACTTGAAATATTACAAATTGTAAAACTTGAATTCTCAAATTGTAAATAAATTACAATATGTAAAACCTTAAGTTAAAAATTGTAAAACTTAAAACTTGGGATATTACAAATTGTAAAACTTGAATTAATAATTGTAAAACTTGAATTTTCAAATTGTAAATAGATTACAAATTGTAAAACTTGCATTACAAATTGTAACAAGTTTTTAAAAATTAAACTTAATATAGCTTATGTACGCTCATCTGTTAACCTGCCACTCTGCTTCAAGCGCCAGTACCACAACACTTTCTGCCGACGCAGAAAAGCGAGGTGTCGAAGAAGATGAGGATGATGAAGCACGTTCTTTAGCTGGAGGAAAAATGTCCGCATCAGCCCCAAGTACACCTCCAACCTCTTCTTCACAACTTTTATCTCCTCTTCTTTCTCGTTTTCCATGCAATGAATGCAACTTTAGGTGAGGGTGGTTTTTTACTGATAACTTTTCTTTAAATAAAGATAGAAATTTAATTTTCATATCATTCGATAGAGGAGATTATGGGCTACAAAATGATTATCTATACATTTTTTTTAATTTTTAGTTTATTTAAAGTTAAGGACAAAAAAGCGAGGGCAGATGATTAAAAATGGGAAAAAATTAATTTTAAAAATTCACTATAGGGTTCGAAATTTTTTTTTGAAATTTTCTCTATATTTTAAGTTAAAGCCCAATCTTTCCCCTACATTTTGATATATAATCCATTTTTCTATGTTGACTTTAAAAAAAGTTATGTGGCAAAATCTATAGCTACCTCTTATTAGAGAGTCTCTTGATTAGACAGCCGAAAAAAATTTTTTTCTTTCAGAGGTCGTACACTAACTTCATTAACAAATCATAAATTACAAAAACATTCAAACAACAATAAACAACAAATTAATGGAACAACAACAACAAAACCACCCCATTTACCACCAACTAAATGTTCTTCTTTTGTGTTACCATTTAATCCTTCGCTTTTTAATTGTGGAACTGGAGGAGGAATTTTTGGGGGAAGTGGTGGTGGAGGGTTTTCAGTTCCTGGTTCTCCTCTCTCTCCACAGGTATTTAGAAATTTCTGAAAGAAAATTTAAAAAATTCATAGTCATGTTAGGGGATAAAATGGGTACAGCCCAAGTAGGCCCCTCTCATCGAGCTAAAGAGATTGGTACCAAAATTGTTAATCCAGAAATTTTCTAGCTAGTTGAAAAATTTTGCGTTTTTTGCGTCTGCTTGGCCCTACTTGGGCGTGGCCCGATAAAATGAATGTATGTAAAAAATGGTAAAAGTAAAAATGGTCAACTTTCAAAAGGGTCAGAATTCGAAATGGACAATTTTAAGATAATACTCCTTAAAAATATTCATAATAGACTATCCCGCTAACTAACAAAATGTCAATGTACAAAATGGTAAAACTAGAATAGGGTCAATTCCCATAAGGGTCAGAACTCGAAATGGTCAATTTAAAAATATATACAGTATGATATTTTAGACTGGAAGCCTTGGACTTAGCAATAGCAGCATTTATCCAACAGGATTGCCACCATCATTCTTTAACGCCCCACCAACAACTTCAACAACAAATTTAAAAAGTTTAGGAAGTTTAATAAACGATCAACAACAACAAACAAACAATGCCCATCAATTATTGGCACAATTATTAGCAGCACAAAAACTTGCTTCAGCAATACTATCAGCTGCAGCAACAACTAATTCTTCTTCCCCTCCTTCTTCAACTTCCCCAACAACTTCAAGCTCTTCTTCTCCCCCAATTTCGACTGTTACTCAACAACAACAACAACAACAACAACAGTGAAGAATAAATAAATTTGTAAATAGGCAAAAAATGTTTTTTGTATTTATACCCCAAAATAGAATTAAATCTCAATATGACTGATCAGTCGGACCATACTATGAAATAACCCCGTATATTAGGGGAGCCCCTCTATTTTTAATTTTTCTTGGTTAGCCACTAGGTGAAGGTGTTAAGACACTGACCTCTGACGAAAATAACCTCTGACAAGACTAACCTCTGAAGAGACTACCAGACACAGTTAGGACTTTGGAGAGGTGAAGAGGGAGGTGAGCAGCAGAGATGTGTGCCGAAACTGAATTTAAAGAGCGGAAAGGCAGACAACTACGATAATCAGTTCTCACTTGAGTGGGGTCGTCTAAGCAATACCCTCAATTTAAGACAAGCTAAGATACCCTCACAAATATTTTAGACCCAAGGGTCTATCTTATAGTGAGGTTCGACTGTATTTAAATACTTGTTTACTGTAAAAATTCATTTAGGCGTGAGAGAGGAATTTACGGCGGCAGTTTCAAACAGGGGAATACTTTTTATACTTCCTTTTATTTTTACTATTCCAGCAAAAAGACTTTCCTCTCAAACACTTTTTTTAAAAATTATTTTAATTTTGCTTCAAATCCTACTTAAAAATTATTTTAAAGTCTCAGCTTCATAATTCTCATTAAAGTTTACCCAACCAAAAATTAATTATTTAGACAAGTTTGGAGAGTTATGAAGCTAAGATTTTTATTTCTTTTTAAATTTTTTTCTGGCATTTTGATATTATTTTTTTATTTTCAGTTATTTTTATTATTGTTCCTTTCAATCCACTCTCCTTAACCGAACCTGAATCAATTTATTTTCAAAAATTATTTTTTAAGCAATCCCAGTCTTGCCAACAACTTTTGTTTTTTCTTCTACTTTAATCTTTTTTTGTTTAATTTCTATTAATAAATTTATTAAGAACTCTACCCCACCCCCATCGCGAGTCAACTCCTTCGCAAGGCCCCAAGTCTTTTAAAATTTCTGAACCACGAACTGCGGTTCAGGTTGATGACCTATCTGGGTAATAGTCATATGTTCAGGTATCCCAATCCCGACTCGGGGAATTTTCCCGAGTTTTGGCCTCCCGAGGTCATTTCCCGACCCGACTCCCGTTTCCCGGGTTTTTTCTTCTTCCAAACATCACCATTGAGTGATACCCTTTTTGCGGACAGAAAGTACATCAACTGGACATTTACCCTTAACGATTTAATATTTTTTTAATTCGGCGAGATGCATCGAAGCATTTCAAGATATCCAAGAATCTTTAACAAGTTGTTCACTGCGTCGGATTTGACTTGCGGTGGAATGACCCCCCATATCTCCCCCAAATTTATTATTTATTCCCATTAAATATATAAAAGCATTTTTGTTTACTTCCGGTAAGCTTTATTTTATTAGTCTTTTTCTCTTCCTTTTTCTATTAAAAATGCTCGCAAATAAACTTTCTGAGAATACAAAATTTTTTTTTTTATTTTTTAAAATTTTGCTTGGATGAAATTTGCTTGGATGAATAAATGTATTTTATTACAAAGATTTATTAAATTTTATTTTAAATTAATATATTTTTACTATACGAGAGCAAAAAATTGATGAAATTAAGTAAAATTGTGTGAGTAGTATATAAGGACTTTTAAAACATTTTTTATCTAATGTTACTATAAAGCAAATTCGAGAGAGGTGATTAGTTTAAAATAATTTGTGTTTACAAACTTTAATAAGTTACAAATTGTAAATAATATATTGTAAAACCTGAAAAATTGTAAAACCTGAAATATTACAAATTGTAAATTAAAAATTTCAAATTACAATTTTTTACATTTATAATTTTCAAATCCATTCTTAATTTTTTTATTCTGTCCCCAACCACACTCCCCCAACCACATGGGTAAAATCGCAAATATTGATTTATTGTATAAGTGCATGGCTTAAACTGAAATTCTAAAATTAAAAAAACGAAAAATAATTATTTAGCGATAATAATGATTATTACCATTTTTTAATTTTAAATTTTATTCGAAAAAGTTTTTTTCCAAAAATATAAATAAAAAATTTAAAAAAATTTAAAAAAATCTATACTAAAATGTGCCTCACAAAAATGTGCCAAAATTTTGACCCCATAGGAAAATATTTTTTAGTAAAATAATTTAACCGAATAAAAAATTTTTTTAAGGAAAATAAAAATTTCGATAATTGGTTAAACATTATTAAATTCATTTCTTAAAGTTAAAAATTATTCGGTTAAATTTTTTAAGTAAGAATTTTTCCCGAAAATTTGGGCCCTAATAAAATATTTTTTAGTAAAATAATTTAACCGAATAAAAAATTTTTTTAAGGAAAATAAAAATTTCGATAATTGGTTAAACATTATTAAATTCATTTCTTAAAGTTAAAAATTATTCGGTTAAATTTTTTAAGTAAGAATTTTTCCCGAAAATTTGGGCCCTAATAAAATATTTTTTAGTAAAATAATTTAACCGAATAAAAAATTTTTTTAAGGAAAATAAAAATTTCGATAATTGGTTAAACATTATTAAATTCATTTCTTAAAGTTAAAAATTATTCGGTTAAATTTTTTAAGTAAGAATTTTTCCCGAAAATTTGGGCCCTAATAAAATATTTTTTAGTAAAATAATTTAACCGAATAAAAAATTTTTTTAAGGAAAATAAAAATTTCGATAATTGGTTAAACATTATTAAATTCATTTCTTAAAGTTAAAAATTATTCGGTTAAATTTTTTAAGTAAGAATTTTTCCCGAAAATTTGGGCCCTAATAAAATATTTTTTAGTAAAATAATTTAACCGAATAAAAAATTTTTTTAAGGAAAATAAAAATTTCGATAATTGGTTAAACATTATTAAATTCATTTCTTAAAGTTAAAAATTATTCGGTTAAATTTTTTAAGTAAGAATTTTTCCCGAAAATTTGGGCCCTAATAAAATATTTTTTAGTAAAATAATTTAACCGAATAAAAAATTTTTTTAAGGAAAATAAAAATTTCGATAATTGGTTAAACATTATTAAATTCATTTCTTAAAGTTAAAAATTATTCGGTTAAATTTTTTAAGTAAGAATTTTTCCCGAAAATTTGGGCCCTAATAAAATATTTTTTAGTAAAATAATTTAACCGAATAAAAAATTTTTTTAAGGAAAATAAAAATTTCGATAATTGGTTAAACATTATTAAATTCATTTCTTAAAGTTAAAAATTATTCGGTTAAATTTTTTAAGTAAGAATTTTTCCCGAAAATTTGGGCCCTAATAAAATATTTTTTAGTAAAATAATTTAACCGAATAAAAAATTTTTTTAAGGAAAATAAAAATTTCGATAATTGGTTAAACATTATTAAATTCATTTCTTAAAGTTAAAAATTATTCGGTTAAATTTTTTAAGTAAGAATTTTTCCCGAAAATTTGGGCCCTAATAAAATATTTTTTAGTAAAATAATTTAACCGAATAAAAAATTTTTTTAAGGAAAATAAAAATTTCGATAATTGGTTAAACATTATTAAATTCATTTCTTAAAGTTAAAAATTATTCGGTTAAATTTTTTAAGTAAGAATTTTTCCCGAAAATTTGGGCCCTAATAAAATATTTTTTAGTAAAATAATTTAACCGAATAAAAAATTTTTTTAAGGAAAATAAAAATTTCGATAATTGGTTAAACATTATTAAATTCATTTCTTAAAGTTAAAAATTATTCGGTTAAATTTTTTAAGTAAGAATTTTTCCCGAAAATTTGGGCCCTAATAAAATATTTTTTAGTAAAATAATTTAACCGAATAAAAAATTTTTTTAAGGAAAATAAAAATTTCGATAATTGGTTAAACATTATTAAATTCATTTCTTAAAGTTAAAAATTATTCGGTTAAATTTTTTAAGTAAGAATTTTTCCCGAAAATTTGGGCCCTAATAAAATATTTTTTAGTAAAATAATTTAACCGAATAAAAAATTTTTTTAAGGAAAATAAAAATTTCGATAATTGGTTAAACATTATTAAATTCATTTCTTAAAGTTAAAAATTATTCGGTTAAATTTTTTAAGTAAGAATTTTTCCCGAAAATTTGGGCCCTAATAAAATATTTTTTAGTAAAATAATTTAACCGAATAAAAAATTTTTTTAAGGAAAATAAAAATTTCGATAATTGGTTAAACATTATTAAATTCATTTCTTAAAGTTAAAAATTATTCGGTTAAATTTTTTAAGTAAGAATTTTTCCCGAAAATTTGGGCCCTAATAAAATATTTTTTAGTAAAATAATTTAACCGAATAAAAAATTTTTTTAAGGAAAATAAAAATTTCGATAATTGGTTAAACATTATTAAATTCATTTCTTAAAGTTAAAAATTATTCGGTTAAATTTTTTAAGTAAGAATTTTTCCCGAAAATTTGGTATATATATTTTAAGAAATAAGAGCACTGATGAGTGGAAGGCCTTATTTTAGTATTTAAAAAAAGGGACGACGTTATACACACAAGACAGTGAAAGAATTTGTGAACAAGAACAGAAAAATTCACACGCAAAATATCGTGAACTTATGGCAAAAACTTATGGCAAAAAGAGAAGACATAAAACTGAGTTTGGAACAGCAGAAACAACATTTGAAAGTTATATGAATGAATTTGTTTTGCCAAGAATTTTTCTCATAGATGTTAAAAACGGCAATTATCATTTTTATAAAAATGTCAGCCAACATGATATATCAACATGAGAATCTTCCTCAATCTAAAGAAGCAGCCATAATATTTTTACAATCAAAGAACATTCTACACCAAATAAAATATGTGTAAATGGCCACGATATAGGTTCAACGTTTCAAAGGCAAATTAGATGACGATGCGATAAATCTACATGTCGCAGATGGGAATGGGAAAATCTGCGAGTCAGAACATGGTTAGAAGGGAATTTTAAACTAAATTAAGGGCGTAAATAAGAAGACTACACTGTCCCATAATTATAAACGCAGGCACAAATATGACTTTTTCTGAATTTTACGCGGAAATTTTTGAAAACAAATATGGAATAAATAAGCATTTGTATATTCATGACCTGTTACAGTGTTTACTTTCATTTTCATTTTATTCAATATTTTATACCGGCCCATAATTATAAACGCACTTGTATTTTTTCACGCATTTAGGATTTATTTTAAAAATGGGAAAGGGTACATTATTAACGGAGGAAGAACGTGGCAGATCCGAGTTTTTAAAGAGAATGGACATTCAAACCGATGGATCGCGCGTAGAATTGGGCGTTCTGAGTTTTCTATCCGCACTTTTCTTTCTGATCCAGATAATTACGGCTTGCTCAAGTCCTCAGGTTGTCTTTCTTTTTCATACGCGTCTAGGAAACACACATAATCCTTAGGACGTCCAAATAAAGTAACTGAGAATGAGAAGGCGGATTCTAGCCGAGTTGTCAAACTCACAGATGGGGGTACGCCGTGTTCGAAATCAAATTGCGCCTGAACTCTCGAAAAGTACGATCTGGCGAGTTGCAAAATCTTCTCCCAATTTAATTCGACAGCGTCTCCGTGCTTGCCCAAATTTAACTGATGAACACAAAACTGCCAGAGTCGAATTTGCCAGCCGCCATATCACGGGACGGTCCTGATGGTTATCGTGATTATTGGCGTGATCTACGCAAAGAACCGGCTATTTTTACAAAGCGTCCTATGGGCGGCGATGGGGTGATGGTGTGGGACGGGATTTTCTCTCAAGGGCGCACGAAAATCGTGTTTGTCCGGGGGAAAATGAATTCAGAAGGGTACCAAGAAATTTTAAAAAATTTCCTCCTGCCATTTTTGGATCGCTGGCCACACTTGAAACATATTTTCCAGCAAGATAACGCCAGCGTCCATGTTTCTGCTTCAACGCGAAACTGGTTTGCATCCCGAAATCTCCCACTGCTTGCTTGGCCAGCCAAATCTCCGGACCTCTCTCCGATAGAAAAAGTTTGGGCAATGCTTTCGAAAGCTGTTTATTCAAATGGAAAGCAATATAATAATATTGAAGACCTTAAAAAGGCAATCGCCGAGGAATGGGATCGACTTGATCAAAACCGGCTTGCAGATTTTTTTCCATACTATGAACAAACAATTAATTAAAGTTATTTCTAAGCACGGGAGAGTCACACATTATTAAACTTATTTTGAATTTTTTTAGTTATTATTTATTTTAATATACACGTTTAAACATATTAGCGTTTATAATTATGGGACATACCTTTTCGAAAATTTTTAAAAAATTTTAAATAAAAATCCAGACCTCTTGTAACTTTTAAAAAATTGTTATATATGTCTAAGCATACAATCATTACACGAAAAGTTAGAAAAAATACCTAGGTTTTAAGTGTAAAATTCGAAAAATATAGGTGCGTGTATAATTTTGGGACAGAGTGTATTATGTCTATTAAAGACATATTTCTTTATTGTTAAAATGGCCCTAAACTCTCAATAAATTGAGGCATTTATTTAATATTTATTTCTTTAATCATACATTATACATATTAGGGTCAAGTGAGGCTCCGAAGAGCACTGAAAATGAGGAAAAATAAAAGGCGGTAGAATGATAGCATTATAAACTAAAAAGAATAAAGGTTGAAAGACAATAATTTGAATAAGATGAAAGTTAAATATTTAAAAGTTGGAATGAGCGAATTAATAAAATATATTAAGAAATTTCTAATCCTTATGAGAGGAGAAAGGAGAAGAAAAAGAAAAGGTATATAAACGTATAGTACCATTTATATTTATTAGACTAAGAATTTAAAAAGTATTTAATGAAATAAAAATTTTTTCCTAAAATGAATTTTTAATTGAGAAAATGTGTAAGTTTCATTTTAATTACTCTTGCCCCTATCTTTATGTCATTAATTGTATAGAATATTAAAACATTACTCTGTAAAAATTTTATAGATATTGGAAATATAAATAATTAAAAAAAATCTTTTGTGTTTATCAAAAACAGAAATTTTAACTAATTTCTAAAATCAAATAAATAAGTAAAAAACAAAGCTTATAAAAAAGAATTATCGGATTTGCCCAGAAATCGTTTCTTCGATTTAAAAAACCATTCTAGAAATAATTTGGCGAACAAAAAAATCTGGGCAGATCCAGTCCAGAGCCTATTTATTATCAACAAAAAATTCGTTAGTAATCATACCACCAAATCCACCATTATATAAAATAGAGAATTTAATTTTTGGATTATAAATGTTGAAAAGTTGGTATTTTGGCGCTAAATAATCTGGCCGGTACTCATTTACACGTTCCTCTCCAACCTTTTCAGCTTTTTCATTTAAAATAGCAAGATTGGTATCAAGATCATTTGCAATTAAGTCAATTTTATCCACCATTTTTGAACAATCTTTTGATGTTTTGATAAACTAAAATACAAGAAAAAATCAATAAAGATATTGTAAAATAAAGAAATCATATTTAATTTAGGTTCTGTAATTAAATCTCAGTCTCAGATACCCCTTTTAGCTAGAAAATAGGGTTGTTGGCCGGTTATTAACCGGTACCCGCGGTTTTCGGTTAATCCAAATTTTAGAAACCCGGTTTTCGGTTTTAGACAAATACCGGTTATATTTTGTTCGTTAGGACTGCCTTTTTCGTTAGGACTGCTCGCATATATAAATTTATTCCTCAACATATGCGCAATTCAACCCCCGAACACTTTAGTCGACTCCTAGCCACTTTTGATATATCCCAATTTATTGACTCACTCCCAAATCACCTTAAAAGACACTTTTGCAATTTTTAAATTATGTTAAAGAAATCGTTTGCTTACGTTTATTTTATTTATTTATCACATTATTATTGTCTGAAATCGTCGCGCTGTTGCGTATAAATTTGATTCATTTTCACAAATTTTAGGTTTTTAAAATTTTATAAAAACGGTTAATTTTTGGAAAAAATTTCAAAAATTCCGGTTTTAAAACCGGTCGCCAACAACCCTACTAGAAAATTGTAGTTAAATCGTAAGACGTCTATAATTTGGAATATATTTGGAAAATTAAAATTTTTTAATAGAATATTATCGAAACATGAAAATTTGGGATTTTCCTATAATTAAAGAATCTGATAGAATTCTTAAAGGACCGTGAGAACTCGATTACTTGCTGGCAGGCCTCAAAATTATCAAACAGCACTCCCAATTTTTTAGGACCAGTAAAAGTAAGGATTACCCAAAAAAACTCACATTTATAACAAAATCGTAAAGTTCTGGACTGTTACTACATCCTAAACTGACTGATTTAAACTTGTCTCCATTCATTAAAATTTTGCTTAAAATATCCACAGAATCTGCAGTATTGTTTTCATGAGAAAAATTGATAACAAGATCAATGCCGATCAAATGATTTACAGCAAATTTTAATAAATTTTCGCTATTGTAAGCCTCAAAAGACTTTAGAGACGATGACACAACATAAAATTTCTTGGGAATTGTAGCATTTCCAAATAATAATTTAATCAGTTCCGGATTGAAGATAAATTTATTGAAAAAGCCATATTCAAAAGAACAAATGAATAATCTATCCAAATAATAATAAACAATTTTCATTTGATTTTTGTTTTTAATAATAGTTGGCAGTTGTAGATTAATGTGATTTTTTTCATTAATGAAATCTAAAAAAATTTTTAAAGTTATTTTAAATTTAAACCAAAATATTGAACTTTTCTAGTCCTTTTTAGACATAGAAAAAGGAAGGGGTAATGCATCCCCTTTTTTCTATCGTTTATCCGGTATTACAATTGCGAATACGCACGCGCGGATGTGCCGATTACGGACGACAATTGCGGATTAAAAATCTTTAAATGATTGAAATGATATCCCGTTTTTTAGTCGCAGCTGTTAGTTTCAAACTTCTGACGGTTTCAAAATCATTTTTAGACTGATGTGGCACTAAAAACTTTAAAAATCTTAAAATTTCTTTAAAATTTTATATCCGCAATTGTCGTACCGCCGTTTATTTGGTAGTATGAGTTTACATTATATTATCATATATTAATTTAATTATTTTTGGATTGGACACCGGATCAGACGAAGAAAAACTCTTCTTTATTTTATCCCCTTAGTTCTTTCTATTTTTAAAGTTAGAAAAATAACCTTCAAATTTGACTTTTTTAGATAAACAAATAACAGTGTTGTCTGAATCTTGAAGAGGTAAATATAGAGGAATTGGGTTTTCTAGTTCCTTATTCCACTAAAAACGAAAGAAAATTTTTTAGATATTTTTAATTTACCTTTTCTTCAAGCTGTTCATTTATTTCTTTATGTTGCTCATCAAATAAGGCAAAGTTAAAATTTCCAGCTCCGGGTCTAATTAATCTACCATTATTGGATTGACCGATATCTCTCTTAATAGAAATGTTTTAAAAATTAAAAAAAAAGCCTTACAAGAATTATCATAAATAATTCATCTCGTGCAAGTTCTCCCTCAAAATGAGTAATAAAATCACGAAAATATAAATTTGTTTGTTTAATTGAATACAATTCTTCATAATTGAGGAATTTAAGAATATCAAGTTTTGCTTCTGTTGGCAAAGAATAAATCATTTTTTGAAAGAAAATTTAATAATTAACTAAAAATTAAATTAAAAAATTATTTACATCTATATAGCTTGTTAGTTACTAAAATAACAATAGTCTCCACTAAATAATAAAATGGCTTTTATACTAAGCCAATACCCAACACATGGTTTCTTAATTATAAGATACAGACCAAAAATAGTAGATACATTTTAATTTTAAAATCGCGGGTTAGAAGGACGGCCTAACAATATCCCGATTAAAGACACACCTTGTTATAAGGCAAAATTTTTAAACTAACAATAAGGGGCACACTAAAAGTCATGCCAAACAGGACCCCTTATAGGCCATAATAAATTTTCATTTATACGCTAATTTTACGGAAACAGTATAATCACAAATATTTTAAAATAATTCATTCACCTCTCCATTTTTCCTAATCCGCCAAATTACACGGCCATTGAATGAAAGAAGTTTAGGCGAAATATGCCTATCCATCCAAAAGGAGAAAGAAAATTTGTTGAAAAATTAGTGTTATGGACAGACTATAAATTAATAAATACTAATAAAATGGACATTCTCGCCACGAACTTTCCGGAATATACAACTTAACAGAAAATACAACATTATTTATACCTTCCGGGAAAGTAAATAAGGAACAAAGTTCAGGAAATACACATTAATAACAAAACAAACAGGTATATACAATCGAAAAAAACAGAATGACATTTTTATATTATTTTTAGAATCCGTGAATCTTACAATTTTCCTCTTTGATAATACCCATTTTACACAAAAAATCATCATTATTGTTTGTTCTTATACATGTCCTGGAGTTTGGTTAATTTTCTGAAATTTGAACGAATTTTAATTTTTAAGGAAGTTAAAAATACCGTCTAATATCCTTTTCATCGCTCAGTTCATTGCACTCATATAGTATAGAAGCAAGCTAAAAAATTTTTTTTAGTTATAAAAATTTTTTTGAAAAAACTACCGCATTTATAGCTTCCTTGTCCTCTTCCACCAACTTTTTGGCCTCCAACTCGCAGAATCGCATGTTATTGTAAATTGCTCTCTCTTGTAGTGCCGTAAACTCATTTGACTCAGGTTTTATTGTAGCTAGAGATTGGTCCTCAAGTAAGCCGAATTCTCGAACCTAAATCTTTTTTTTACAAAAATTAATAGTGTATATTTTTTACATTAGATGCGGCAAGTTTCTCAATCGCCAATTTATCGGCTCCAAATAAGCTCGTCATCCCATTGTCACGTAAAGCCACTTCAGCTTGTCTTGCCCCCCAGAACGCTATTTGCAAATTGTTCTTCTCTTTCAAACTCCATATATGTTTTTCGCCATGTTCAATAATAGTTCGTCCCAACAATTCCCCATTGGGGATAAGCGTTATCTAAAAAATACTTTTGTAGAAAAGGTTAAAACTCATAATTGACCTCACCTTAACAACTCGTAAACCACCACGAAATGCGAGCCATGCGTGCCCGGCTTCATGAACGGATAGTTGCATCCGTTCATCCTCTGATAGTCCTGCTGTTTTAATTGAAGCGTTTACGCTAGCTTTGCATTCAATTGTCATTTGCCCTCCTAATATAAGCCTTCCATCGTGAAAACAATCACAATTCATCAAATTGAAAGGATAAACAACCTTAAAAATAAAAGTTATATGGCTACTCCTAAAAAGGTTTACCAACCTTTACATCCTCTACTTCATCAGCCAATACTTTATTGTCGGGTCCTAAAGGATTCAGACTGCCTTCCTCATCAAAATTACAAGCCAAGGTTGCTGAGTCAACCTTAAAAATAAAAGTTATATGGCTACCCCTAAAAAGGTTTAACCAACCTTTACCTCCTCTAATTCATCAGCCAATACTTTGTTGTCGGGTCCTAAAGGATTCAGACTGCTTTCCTCATCAAAATTACAAGCCAAGGTTGCTGAGTCAACCTTAAAAATAAAAGTTATATGGCTACCCCTAAAAAGGTTTAACCAACCTTTACCTCCTCTAATTCATCAGCCAATACTTTGTTGTCGGGTCCTAAAGGATTCAGACTGCCTTCCTCATCAAAATTACAAGCCAAGGTTGCTGAGTCAACCTTAAAAATAAAAGTTATATGGCTACCCCTAAAAAGGTTTAACCAACCTTTACCTCCTCTAATTCATCAGCCAATACTTTGTTGTCGGGTCCTAAAGGATTCAGACTGCCTTCCTCATCAAAATTACAAGCCAAGGTTGCTGAGTCAACCTTAAAAATAAAAGTTATATGGCTACCCCTAAAAAGGTTTAACCAACCTTTACCTCCTCTAATTCATCAGCCAATACTTTGTTGTCGGATCCTAAAGGCTTAAGACTGCCTTCCTCATCAAAATTACAAGCCAAGGTTGCTGAGTCAACCTTAAAAATAAAAGTTATATGGCTACCCCTAAAAAGGTTTAACCAACCATATTGAATTGGGAGCCTTTCTTTTTTGATTTGTAGAAGCAGGTGACGGCACTGAAATAATTTAAAAAATTATTTTTTTGCTTGAGTTAAAATAAACTTACATAGAAGTAAGTAACATAGCACCAAAGCCGGCAACCAACAGGGCAATCCAAACGGGTGACATTTTTAATTAGAGGTGGAATAAAGAAGTTGGGGGAAGATTGTGAGAAGCGGACGGCTTTTATAGTATTGTAAGCTGCTGTCAAGTAGCGTTCAACAGACCGGGTTTTTTCAGTAGCGGTAGTACCGAAAAGTACTTCCGGTCCGAGACTACACGTCACTACCGCGGCAGCACCGCACCGTGCCGAACACTTGCCAAACCAAGACCTCCTGTATACTTTTTAAAATTTGTTAGGGATAAAGTCCGTTAAGAAGGTATAAGATTTTTTACTCTTTAAACACAATTCTTAAAAATAATAAAAATTTAATGAACACAATTAAAGAAATACAAAAAAAAAGTGAGAGTTTATAAAAAATTTTTTTGGTTGTTTCTTGTTGTTGCTATACATATTGTCTTTGATTTTCGATGGTGAGAAATAAATGTGTTGATACATATTAAATTAAAACATTTAATTTTGTTGTCGTTAGGTTTTTTGTTTGCCTAAGTAAAAAAATAAATAAAATTTTCCAAAAAAAAAATGTGATTAGGAATCAGTGTTCAGGGAACTTATCGTAAGTGTATATTGCAGAACTAGTCACGGATACTGATTTTGGTAGCCGTATCCGGATATTTACGGCGGATACAGGCGGATATCCGCAGGCATTTTGGTATCATCTGTATCCATATCCGTATCCATGACCAGGTCTGGTATATTGTAGTGTTTCGCCGGAACCGCAAATTTTGGTCGGAACCGGAACTGAAATTTTGACTGGATGCGGATCTAATTTTCTGGTTCCCGGAAACGGAACTGGAGGACCGGAACAGGAACGAAAAAAATCCCGGAACTTCCGGCCTACCGGGACGGAACTTCCGGCGAAACAGTATATTGCTTGAGGCCATATTCTGATTCAAATGCCTAAGGCAATTCTAAGTGCCTCAGGCAAATTAGATTTGTTAAAAAAATTTTTTCTAACCAAATCCAAAAAGTTTAGACCCAGAAGATTTTTGTTGTGTAGCTCTAGGTTTTGTTGGAGAGATTGCACCACTACTTGTTGTACTCCCACTTCCACTAGTTGGTATTGTAATATTTCCAGGAGTAATGCCCGGAGATGTTGGAGTACCCAAACTGCCACTACTGTCTTTTTTGCCGCTTCTAAAAAATATTTTTTTAAATTAAAATTGAAAAAAAAAATATTTTTTTTACATATTCATTGAACCCATTGAATTGGCCAAGTAACGCTTTGGATCAACTAATGCAGCCAGGAATGTCTGCAACAAAATAAAAGAAATTAAAAATTAATTCTGATTTTTTATTAAAGAAACTTTAAATTATTTTCAATTCTCAAGTTTATTTTTTAAATCAAAATTATTTCAAGTTCTACAATTGTAAAACTTAAAATTGTGTTCAAGATTGTAAAAATAAAAAAATAAACTTGGAATTGTAAATAATATTTAATTAAATAGCTTGTTTGTACAATTGTAATTATTAAAACAGAAAATACAAATTCTGATTTAATTTCTAAATTCTGATTGTAAAACTTGGAATTGTGTAACTATAAGTTTTACAATATGCAATAGGTTTGTAAAATATAAAATCAGAATATTGTAAAAATACAACATACAAACTTAAAATTCTGATTTTTAAAATCCTGATTCTTAAAATTCTGAAAAAAAATTCTGATTTTAATATAAATTCTGATTCTAAAATTCTGACTAAAATTCTGATTTATAAAATTCTGACTACTAAAATTCTGAAAAAAATCCTGATGACAACTTCTGACTCATATTCTGATTTTAATATAAATTCTGATTTTTTAAAATTCTGATTTTAAAAATTCCGATTCAAAATTCTGACTAAAATTCTGATTTTTAAATTCTGATTTAAATCTTGATTTCTAAAATTCTGATTGCTAAAATTCTGATTTTTTAAAATTCTGAATTTTTTAAATTTCCACCTTTTGCTGGTCTAATTGTGTAGACAATTTAATTAGCCATTGTTCCTTATCTTCACTAGTAGCTGACTGCGCCACAAAAGTAGCTGGTTGATTAGGATCATTACTTTGTAAAACAAAACGTAGAGGTTCATCAACAACATTTTCTTCTAATACCATTTTATTTACCTTTAAACAAAATTTTTTTTCTTCAATTTCCCCCTTTTCCTCACCATAATTTGATTTTTAAAATTATACAAAGGATTTCCATATTCTTTTCTAGGAGGTATGCATTCAGCAATAATTACAGACTGTTCAAATAAAAATACTCGACGCTCTTTTCCTTTGAAGGGTTGGTTTATATTTCCATCAGAAATTATTAGAGTGCCCTTAAAGTTTAAATTTTATATTTAAGAACTTTTACAAATTGTAAAAATAGGTTAAAACTTTTTTTACAATTTGTAAAATAGTAGGTTCTAATATTTTTTACAATTTGTAAAAATAAGTGCAACTTTTTTTACAATTTGTAAAATATTTCCAACATTTTTTACAATTTGTAAAAATAGGCTAAACTTTTTTTACAAATTGTAAAATAGGTTGAAACAATTTTTACAATTTGTAAAAAATAAGTTGCAGCTTTTCTACAATTTGTAAAATAGGTTGCAACTTGTTTTACAATTTGTAAAAATAGGTTCCAACTTTTTTACAATTTGTAAACGCGGTTGCAACTTTAAAACTTATTACAAATTGTAAATAATTAATTTAAAATTCTTTTTCTTTATCCACCTGAAATATTAAACGCCCCTGAGCTGTTAAATTGCCTTGAAAGCCTTGCAAACGACCCACTTGCATCATATCATCACACGCTTTAGGCACAACCCTCATAACATCATGAGCACGTTCTAACACTTCTGCACGGTCGTTAGCACGATGAGTGTATTTTAAAATATCACTGAGCATTAATTGGTATCTATAAAAATGAGAATATATTTTCTTAAAATTTAGTAACAATAAATTGTAAAGTTGTGATTTTAAAATTAAATAGAAATTGTAAAGTTTGTAAAAATAGGTTGCAACTTTTTTTACAATTTGTAGGAAAAGGTTGCAACTTTTTTTACAATTTGTAGGAAAAGGTTGCAACTTTTTTTACAATTTGTAAAAAATAAGTTACAACTTTTTTACAATTTGCATGGAAAGGTTGCAACTTTAAAAGTTTTTACAATTTGTAAAAGTTATATTTAAAAATTAAAACTTTAAAATTTTAATAATTAAAAGGGTTGAATTTATATAACAATTATTTTACAATTGTAAAACTTTAAATTTACAATTAAAAAATTTAAAAAAATTCAAGTTGCAACTTTAATTTATAAAAAATCAGAATTTGTAAAATTGTAAAAACATTTTGTTTTTAATAAATTATTTATAATTGTAAAAACAATTTAATTTTATAATTTAATTTAATTATAAACTACTTTGTAATCCGCTGAACAGGTTTAATAAGCAAATCATTAATTGACACTTTATGTCCAAGCCTGTCTTTTACATCAAAAAGTAATTGTTCAAAATTGTCTTGACTGACCAAAAAATCTTTTTAAAATTAAATTTTATTAAAAAATTTTTTTTTCAATTTTACCAGATTTTGGTTTATTTTGACAATATTTAACATAAAATGTGTGCAATCTCCTTTCCTTTAAATTTAAAATTTTTAAAAATAATTTTAAAAATTCTCTCTCACATATTTAATAAAAGCATTTCCTGCAGCTTCATAATCTTGTAAACTTTTTTCAATTTCTTTACAAAAGACAGATCTATAAAGAAATTAAAATTAATTTTTTATTCAAAAAATCATCCCAAGCCCACTCTGTTTGGAAATTTAAAATCAGAATTTTTTATAATTTTTTCAGAAAAAATCAGAACCTTTTCAGAATTTTTCATAAAAAATCAGAATTATTTTCAGAATTTTTTCAGAAAAATCAGCATTTTGTCAAAAAATTTTCAGAAAACAGAATTTTTTTAGAAAAAATAAGAATTATTTTCAGAAATTTTTCTGAAAAAAATCAGAATTTTTTTCAAAATTTTTCAGAAAAATCAGAATTTTTTTCAGAATTTTTCCAAAAAATCAAAATTTTTTTCAGAATATTTTGCTCGACCTATTTTATTTTCTCGTACTCATATTCGTAAATAGATTCGAGTACAAATTTTGGCACAAACTTTTAAACACTCTTCCCTACTTACTTATGAAAATCCAATATTTGTTCAATATTTGCAAATATTATTTTAACTTTTTCTCTATCCTCATCACTCAATTCCATTTCTTTAAGTGTTCCAATATACCCATCAACTATAGAAGCTAAATCAACTACATAAGCACGTTCTGTTTCTACAAGTTCTTGAAGTACATAACTAGAGGGAGAATTAAAAATAATATCAGAATTAAATTTGAAATACAAAAATCAGAATATTTGAAAATACAAAAATCAGAATTTTTCCAAAAATCAGAATTTTCCCAAAAACTCAGAATTTCCCCAAAAAATCAGAATTTTCCCAAAAAATCAGAATTTTTTCAGAAAAATCAGAAATAAAAAATCAGAATTTTTCCAGAAAAATCAGAAATAAAAAATCAGAATTTTTCCAGAAAATTAAGAAAATAAATTCTGAAAAAAATCAGAATTTAAAAAAAAAATCAAAAATTTGATTTACAACATATTCTGATTTAAATTTTAATTTCAAAACTTAAAAATATTTTACCTTCTTTTCAATCTAGAACTTTCTTCCGGGGTCATTTGTGGGGGTGATGGAGCTGTATTGGTGGTTGTCTCTTCTGCAGTCGCTTCTGTTATGTTGTTTTCAGTCAACTTAAAAATTAAAAAAAAAAAATAAAATTAATTTTTTAAATTATTATTCTGAAGGATTTAAATTTTTAAAAATTATTCATGAAAAAATTTTTTTCAATTAAAAATTCATTTCACGTGTGTATTTAAAAAAATATTTTTTTTTAAATTTTCTTCCCTCTATTTTCCCCCAACCTTTAAAAAAATAAAAAAATTGAGAAAAAAAATTTGAAAAAAAATAAAATAAAAAATAATTCATCCAATTTAAATCAAATAAAAAAAAGCGGAAGAAGAGACAGACATATAAACATAAATTAGTGTATATAGTTTTTATTTTAACAAAAGTTTATGTGTTCCATTTTTAGAAATTTTTTAATTTATTTGAGACTAATTTAGGGGGAAAAAAAGTTGTGTTATAAAAACAATAAAAAAAGTTGAAATAAATAATCAGAATTAATTGAAAAAATATAAATCAGAAATAAAACACAAGTTTGTAACTAAAAACAAATGTTTTTAATCGATAAACAACAGAAAAACAATCAGAATTTATTAACAACAAAACAAAATTTAAAAATCAGAATTTATTTCAAACATAAAACATATTATTATTAAAAATCAGAATTTAGCAAATTAATTAACCAAAAATCAGAATTTAATTAAAAACATACTAAATTAAACAACAGAAATCAGAACATGTTTAAAACAAAAATAAAAACTAGAATTTGTTTAAAACAAAATCAGAATCTAATAAAAACATTAAAAACCTCAACAAAAAATCAGAATTTATTTAAAACATTCAGAGATGAATCAGAAAACCAGAATTTATATAAAACAAAACAAATTATAAAATCAGAAGTTGTTTTAAACATAAAACATTGGAAAATCAGAATCTATTAAAAACATAAATTAAACAATAAAAACCAGAATTTAATAAAAACAAAACAAAATAAAAATCAGAATTTCCTAGAAACATTAAAAACAATAAAAACCAGAATTTATTAAAAACACATCTGAATAAAAATCAGAATTTAATTAAAACAAAAATAAAACTTAGATCACAATAAAACCAGAATTTAATAAAAACACACAGAAAAAAGATAAAGCAGACATTTAAACACGTGATAAAATCTGCTATTTTTATCACGATAGTCCCAGTTCGATCATAATTAGTCAATAAAATATATAAATAGTTTGGCCATATTAAATCAAAGGCTGTCGATTTTCATTTTTGATGGAGGGGATTAATAAAAGGAATTTTTTAAAAAAGTGAAACGTTTAATTCAAATGCACTTACATAAATATAAAATAAATAGGTAGATAAAATGAAGAAAAAAAAGATGAGAAAAAAGGGATTTAAAAAGAAATAAGAAGGAAAAAAAACTTAATTTCCTCTCCAGAATTTTTATTTAAAAAAATATTTTTAACTTAAAAGTTTAATATAAAAATATTAAAAGATAAAGTACTTGAGAGTCAAAAAAATGTTTTAAAAATATTTTATTTTAAAAATAAGAAAAAAATAACAAAAAAACTGTTTTTTATGCTTAAAAACAAAAAAATAAAAATTATTTTGAAAGATAAAAATAAAGCCTTGTTTCTAAATTAAATTTCTGTTGAAAACAGACCAGAATTAAAAATAGGTATATTAATTAAAAAATATTCTGATTCTGATTGATAAATATATAGGTATTCTGGTATATTTAAAATAAACAAATAAACAGAATTAAAATTCAAACAAAAATTCTGATTTGTAAATTTGTTAAAAACAAAACAAACAAAAATCAGAATTTATTAACAACATTCTGAAAAAATATTCTGAATAATAATTCTGATTTATTTTACAATTAATTAATAATTCTGATTTTTAAAATTATGATTTTTAATAAATAAATAAACTTGTTTGTAAAATATTCTGAAATTTTTGTAGGAGTTCAGAATGTTTTACAAACAAGTTTATTTATTTATTAAAAATCAGAATTTGTAATTGTAAAATAAATCAGAATTTTTGTAGGAGTTAATTGAATCAGAATTTTATTTATTTTTACAATCTTAAAAAAATCAGAATTTAAGATAAATATTCTGATTTACTTAAGACTTTATTGCTCAAGTTTAAACTTGATATTTTAAATAAAAAAGAGAAGTAAATTTAAAATAAAAAAAAAGATAAAAAAAGAGGAAATAAAATAAATTGGCCCAATTTCCTCCTCTTTTTCTAGTAAATATTTTTTTTTAAAAAGTTGGATCAATTTTTCTCTTTTTTTTATTGTTGACTAGAAATAGAGACTATCAAGAAAAATGTGTTATGCATTTAAATCAGAGTCATCTAAAAGTTTATATTGAGGTTTGGGAGTAAAATAAAAAAAAGATAAATTTAAAAATAAAATTAAAAATAAGGGGAAGATCAAAAAATTTTAAACTAAAAAAATTTTTTTTAAAAATTCCAAAAAATCCCAAAATTTTAAAAATAGAAAAAATTCTTTAAAAATCACTTAAAAAATTTTTTAAGAATATTTGGACAACAATGAAAAAAATTTAAAAAATTTTGTTAAGAAAATTTTAATAAATTAAAAAAAAAATTTTTAATTCGAAAAAAATCCCAAAATTAAAAAAAATATTTTCTCCCTCACCTCATTTTCATGTTCCCCACCATTTTCTACACCTCCACCACTACTTCCACCAATTTGATCCATTGGAGGCGGTAAATCTAATAAATCGTTGTTTGAAGATGACCCTTCTTGTTGTTTATTTATTTTTGTTGAAGGGGAAAGTATTTTATTATTATTACAATTTGTTGTAAAATCAGAATTTGTTGATGTTGATGTAGCTGATTTAGGCCTTACTATTACTGTTGTGGAAGGAGAAGAACGGCACTTTGATTCGCCTTTTTGACTGGAGGAAGTGAAGAAACGACTAGAAAAAAATTTAATTTATTAATTTTAAATTTTAAGAATTTTTTTAAGATTTTGATTAAGATTTTTTTTTGAAAAAAAAATTTTTTTAATTTTTTAAATTAATTAATATTAAGTAAAATTATTTTTATTAATTTTATTTTAATTTTAATTATACGTTAATTCTTATATTTATTAAAAATTTTACAATTGTATTTGTTAAATGCTAATTTGTATTTATAAATTACAAATTGTAATAAGTTTATTAATAATTCTGTTTTGCAAAAAACAGAATTTCAGAATTTACAATAATTCAGAATTTGTAAAATCAGAATTTGTAAATTCAAGTTTTCAAGTTTATTTTTATTTAAAAATTGAGACTTGAAACTTGAAAACATATTTTTTACAACTTAAGTTTTACAATTTGTATTTACAATTTTTAGTACTCAAGTTTATTTATTTCTAAGTTTATTTTATTATTAAACTTAAAACTTGAAAACTTGCTTTTTTACAACTTAGTTTTTACAATTGATTTACAAACTTGGTATTCAAGTTTATTTTCAAGTTTATTTATTATTACAAACTTGAAACTTGAAAACTTATTTTTTACAACTTAGGTTTTACAATTGATTTACAATTTTTAGTACTCAAGTTTATTTATTTTCAGGTTTATTTTCAAGTTTATTTTTTATTACAACCTTAAAACTTGAAAACTTGCTTTTTTACCAACTTTATTTCAATTTTAAAAATAAACTTAAATTTAACTACAATTATGAAAAAAAAAGTTTCAAGTTTGCGATATAGACTTATAAACTTAAGTAAAGCCGACAACAAGAAAAAATTACTATATATAATTTATTTTTTGGCAGTAAATTGATGAAAATTTTATTTAAAATTATTTTTTCTTTTAGTGTGACGCAAATAGATAAGTAGAAAATGCAAATAAATATATAAAAATAAAAAGTATTTAAGTACCCCAAGGGAGAAAAAAAATAAGAAAATTTTTTGAAAAATAAAGAAAAAAGTCGATTATTTTTAATGACACAAAATTATTAAAAAAAATTTATTTTTTATTTAAAAGGAGAAAAAGTGTTTGTTATTATTAAATATTTTTTTATTATTTTATTCCAGGAAAAAAAAATTTTTTTTAAATATTCCACTTAAATACCTCTCCTTATTTTTCTTTAAACTTTTTAAAGTCCTCAAATAATTTTAAAAACAGCAGGAAAAAAATTGAAGATGACGAGAAAAAAAATAAAAATAAAATATTTAAAGGGAAAGGAGGAATAAAAAAATAGAAGAAAAAATTTAAGAAATGGAAGAATTATTAAAAGAAAGTATAAGTAATAAAAAGAAGAGAAAAAAGAAGACAAGAAGAGTATTGTAATAAAAATATTATCAGAATTACAAATTGTAAAAAGTTTATTTAAATAAAAACAATTTCAAGTTGATTACAAAAATCAGAATTACAAATTCTGATTTAAAGTTGGAAACTCTATTTAAATATAAATATAAATTCTGATTTAATATAAATCAGAATTTGTAAATTGTAATAATAATTAAACAATCAGAATTTGTAAAAATAAAACAATCAGAATTACAAATTCTGATTAAAGTTGAAATTTCTATCAATTAAATAATAATTCTGAATTACAATTGAAACCAGAATTTGTAATTTACGGCAAGTATTATAAAATTCAGAATTACAAATTCTGATTCTATTTAAATAAAAATTCTGGTTTATATCAGAATTTGTAATTTATAACCAGTATTATTAAATCGAAATTACAAATTCTGATTTAACTATATAAACTCTAGTTAGTTAAATAGCAATTCTGATTTAAATAATTTGTAAACAGAATTACAAATTCTGAATTTAAATTTTATAAATTCTGATTTAAATTGTAAAATTTAACTAAAAAGGAAAATCAATTAAATGAAAAAGTTTATATTAAAAAGTAGCGACAGCAAGTTGGCACTTTTTATTGTTAAAGTCCTCATTTTATGCTTCATCCTTTTTTCGTTTATTTTATTTTATTTTCACCCCTATTTAGTGCCGTCATTTCCGTCTTCAACAAGTCTATCTATTTATGCATTCCCCCTCCAAAAATATTTTTTAAGCTAAAAACTTTGAGAGATGCAAGGATATTTAAAGAAATTTTGACCCCAAAAAATAAATAAATAAAAACAATTTGATATCATTCGATAGAGAATTAAATTAGCTACAAAATGGTATATAAAACAAAATTTTTGGTCGAAAATTAAAAAAAGATATGGTCGAAAAAGGTGTCCAGAATCGGCTTACCTTGGGTTGAATAAATATTAAAAATTCTGATTTAAAATTCTGATTTTTTGAAAATATTTATTAAAATAATTTAATAGCAAATTTAAGCATCCACTCAAATTTTATAAAAAAAAAAATAATTTTATTTTTAATAATAAGGTAGCCAAAAAATTGTGTTCCTTTTCTCCCTTGGACAACTCAAAAAAAACTTTTTGAAAGTTAAATTGCTGCCAACGGCATTTTTTTAAAAGTGGGAAAATTAAAAAAAATAAAAAATGAAGAAAATAAGGGGAAAGGAGGGAAGGAGGATTATTATAATAATGAATTATTGATGAGGCAAGTGTGAAAAAATATGAATAGTATGATGCAAAAAACTCTAAAAATTATTTTAATTGAGAAAAAATAATTTTTTTTAATTGGTCTTTGCAAAAATTGACAAAAAATTAAAGAAAGATTAAAGAAAAAAATATGTATATTAATTTTAAAAATAAAAAGAGAGGGGGTAGGGACGTTTAGGCGCACGCTTCAAAATTAAACTAAATTAAGAATAAGGTAAAAATTAATTATTCAAAAAAGTTAAAGAACGAGGCATTTTAATGAGCAAATAATAGTACTTGTGTAGTTTACCCCCCATAAGCCCCGCCTCTTTTTATTTTCAGCCTTTTCTTTCGCTCTTCCTTCTATAAAATGACCATTTGGGTCAATATTTTAATAACCATATTCTATAAAGAAAAGGATTAAGGGGCGGGGCTTATGGGGGGGGGGGGGGGGGGGGGTAAACTGCACAAGTACCCAAATAATTCTATTTTCGATTAAGAAAATTTAAAAAATTTGTTAATTTTACAAAAACAAATTTTAAAATTGAAAATAAAAAATAGTGGTGAAGGTATGTAGAAAAATAAGTAGGTCCAAAAAACGTCTTGAGATAAGTGAAAAAATATATAGTGAAGAAGCCATCTTTTTTTTTTACTTTGAATGAATAAAAAAGAAGAAAAAATAAAGGATTGTGGTGCTTAGTTGAATTTGGCAAATGAAATTTGCTGAGTGCCGTTGCTGTTTAAAAAAAGAGAGAAAAGTTGGGGGAAAAAGAGAGAAGAGGTAAGGATGTTTAGGCGCAGGAATTTAGGGCGCAGGGATGTTTGAGTGTTTATAAAATAGTCAAAATATAAAGTGGAGGTGTGAAATTTTGTGGAGAAGACTTTAATAGTGCCATCTACAAATTCTGAAAATTTCAGAATTTTTGGAAAAATATTGAGGGAGTTAAGAATAAAAATATAGAAGTTTCTCCAAAATGAGGGATATGTTCTCCATTTTTTGCTCATATCTCTCGAAATATTGAAAATAAAAATTTTAGATTTTTAGGGTTACTAGCTAACCTCCTCAAGCATAATATACACAAAAAATTGTAGAGCTAAAAATTCCCCAAAATAAGATAGATAAGTTGGCGCCCAAACATTAATACGCCCAAACGTCTATAAAAAGGAGAGAATAACAACAAAAGAGAAAGTGAGAGAAAAAGCTATTTACCCTCTCTCACAAAGTAGTAAAAAGCCACCAGTTAGTTCATCAAAGAAAAGCCATAATCCTCTCTCATCCATCGTCATATCCACACATACACTTCACGTCCAAAGTTTTTTATTATGAAGCCAGTGCCGCGTGAAGTTGTATAATTTTTTATTATAAGGAGAGGGAGACATTAGAGTCTGAATTAATTAAACACTAAACAAACTGGAAAATTGGGAGATGGATATCAGAGATCGGCCTGGGTCTGGAACAAGGCCTGGGTTTTTTTACACCCAGAGTCTAGGCCCAGACATTTTTTGACCTTCCTGGGTTTTTCACAGGGCTGGGTCTTTCATGAAGGCCCATGATCCAGTCTACGGCAATAAATCAAACCCAGGAACAGGCCCAGGCATTTCAAAATTTCCGATCTCATGGATAAATTTGGTAGAAAGTAGGGGAGGGATTCTAGAAAAGGAATAAAAATGAAGAACGGATATGGAAAGAAGGAAAATCAGGTCGAGAAAGAAGGAAAATCTATCAAGTCAGTTTAACAATGGAAGTAATTGAGGGAAGTATCCGCCGTAAATATCCTTATACGAATACCAAAATCCATGTTCATTACCGTCTGATACAGAGAAAGACCTTCCCAAAAATTCAAGAGAAAAATCATAAAATAACTCAAGACTCTAATACCCCATCTGTCAATATTTCATCATATACCCTCTCCTTTTGTTACTTATCGAGTACTAGATTAGAGGGGAGGGAGGGGGGATAGTTAGCTTATGCCTTTTTAGCCATTCCAAGTATTCAAGTAGGTATTTTCTTTCCTGAGGCTATTTAGCTAATATATTCCCCTTCTTTTTTCTCTCACTACCTCCTCTTCCTCCTTCCTCACATAAAGCATTAAGCACAAAATTATATAAAATTAAATTATTCAATACCCAGTCTTTATTTTAACCCTTTTCGGCGCGGAAGAAAGGGCGTCAAGTGGAAATATAGAAGAAAAGGTCGGCGCCAAAAAAGAGTTGGCGCCCAAACGTCCCTATTATTTTAATGAAGAAAAATTATGTGTAGAGAAAAAAGTAACGGCAAAAATGCCAAAGGCAGATGTTATAATAGAGTAGAGAAGTGCTTCTTTTAAAAAAATACATTTGCAAAACTAGAATTAATAGAAAAAAAGTTTTTTTAAAGTACTAATAAAAAATGTGAAAATTGTGTGAAAGTCATATGAAAATATGATGAAAATTTAATGAATTAATTTTTATATAAAAATGTTTTTTTAAGGAATTGAAGATAAAAATTCAGGATCTTAACAGAAAAAAAAAATATATAAAATGTTAGAAATTCAATATACACACACACATTTAGGCAAGGAGAAGATATATGTATACTAGAGATCAGACTTGGAGTGTCGTAGAAGAATCGAGATTAATATCTCGAAAATATAACCGAGATTTTTGATAGAGATCTTTAATATATATAGAATCGAAAAGCTTATAAAGTATCGTTGTTGCAAATTTCTTTACAGAAAATAAAAATGTTACGAAATAACTCAAAAGTTAAACTCAAGGGGTGCTCATTATTAAGGTTTCAATCCAAGTAAAATATCAACAAAAAAAAAATAAAATTTATTTTTTACCCTTTAAACAAGCTTGCAAATGTAGTAGAGATTAATGATCCTCTATCTCCTCCTCCTCTTTTAGTCTCATTTTTATTCTTCTGACATTTTTTATTATTTCGTTTTTTATTATTTAAACTGCCACAACGGAAAATGAGGTAATCTGAGAAGCGTCTTGCTCCTCTTCGCCCACCACCACCACAAAATCCTTTTCTTGTATCTTCATTATTTTGGCAAATAATATTTTTATCAAAACACATTTTTTTAAATAAATAAAGGGGGATATAAAAAATAAATCTAAAATAGATTTTAAAATAGTTTTTTTTTTGTAATTTTGCACGATTAAAAATTAAAAAAAAATTAATGGAAGGAAAAATTTAAAGAAATATAAAAATTAGAGAGCGGGTTGAATTCGGACCTTTATTTTTCCTGGATCCAGAATTCAAATCAAGGCATTTTCAGCGTTCCTAGATTTTTCCTTAACTCAAGGTCAAAAATCTGGTCAAGCTATCCAACCGAAATCAAGGTCAAGGATCAAGATCAAAGTTTTTTTTAAAATCTCTCGCTCTCTAATAAAAATAGAGACAGAACTGGTAGACGTAAAATTATTTTTTTTTTAATCTCGAAAAATCTTATTTCGAAAAATCTTATTTCGCTAACCAAAAATTTTTCTTCCTCGTCTGATCCTGTGTTTAATAAGAAAAAATAAAATACACCCTTTAACTTCCTAAAATTATGGCCTTAAAGAATTATGGCCAATAAGGACCGGAAGGGTCCTATAGCTGTTTATATATATACCCTGTGCAAATTAAGTTTTCACAGATCAACCGAAAAATTTTTTTGGCGAATTCGATTAAATTTTTTAAAAAAGATTTAAAAATTAATTTTATATGCGTATTTAACAGAGATCTATTTTAAAAAAAAATTCGCCAAAAAAATAAAAATTTTTTTTTCAACTCATTTAAACAAAGATCTATCTATTTTTATGTAAAAAAATTTAAAAAAAAATTCGGTAAATAAAAAAAATACGCACATAATAATTTTTAATTTTTAAATAAATAAATAATAAAAATAGATGGTATAATTAGTAAAAAAAATAAATTTAAAGAAAAAAAGGAAACAATAAACAAAATACAATTTTGGGAAATAACCCTCTTCTCCCCTTAATTTTAATTACTAAGTGTTTGTCACAAAATTAAAAAAAAATTATTTTTTTTTCTTAAAAATAATCAAGAAAATAGTCAAAAAAAAATAAAGGAGGTGAAGGTTAAAAAAGAAGAAGAAAAAGACGAATATTGAAGGAAAAAAAATTAAATTGCGTCATCAAATCACTCGCCGCTATCCTCCTCATTTTCCCCTCCTTTTTTCCCCTCTATCTACCGTTAATTCCCCTCCATTAAACTTTTAACTACTCCGCGCGGAAAAAAATAAAATAAAAAAAAAATTTTTTTTGTGTCATTAAACGTGTTTGTATATATATTGAATTTTGTTTTTACAAAATAAAAAAAAAATTAGAGAGATAATTTTAAAGGTAAATAAATAAAAAAAAATGTTAGTAGAATTTTTGAGAATTAAAAAAATAATAATAAAATACGTAAGTAATTAATCAGAATTATTAAAAATTGCAAGTATATGTAAATAATTAAATACATACAAGAGAGAAAAAAAGACAAGTTTGTAATTTGTATAAAAATACAAACTTGATAATTATAAATTCTGGTTTTTTAAGTTTAAATTCTGATTTGTATTTTTATAACAGCTATTCTGGTCAAGTTTATTTCTGGTTTTATATTTAATTAATTCTGGTTAGTCAAGTTTACCAGAATTTCAAGTTTATTTATCAGAATTTCAGGTTTATTTATTTCTGGTTTTATAAGTTTAAATTCTGATTTGTAATTTTATATTTCAAGTTTATTTTCTGATTTAAAGTTTATTTTTTTTTCTAATATTAATTTAAATTTATTTAATTCTGGTTTTTATTTAATTTGAATTCTGGTTTTTTTCAAGTTTATTTATTTCTGGTTTTATAAATTTAAATTCTGATTTTTAATTTAATGTGTTTTTACTATATTTCTGATTTTTTAAATAAATATTAATTTCCCCACCGAATAGATGTACGTTTATTGTTGCTGCTATTTGGCGTAGAAGCAGTTGTTTCGTCATGAGCATGTGAAGTGGAAGGTGTTGGTTGGTCTGAAAAATATAAAATATAAAATTAAATAAAAATAAATTAAATAAAAATATATAAAAAGCACCATTTTTTGAAGGATTTTAAAATTAAAAAATTTTTCTTTTTAATTTTAATTTTAAAATTTGCCTTACTTATTTTTATATACACTCAAATGTTTATTTTTTTATAAAATTAAAAAATAATAAAAAAAAATTTTATATTTATCGTTGCATATTTCTGTGTAAATTTTATAATGCAAACAGAAATCCACTTATATTTTTCCAAAAAATAGCCAATTATATCCGATCATTTTTGGGTCGTAAATTCGCAATATACCATATACATAACTGTGAATGAATAAATCCCAAAAATATCAAAAAAATATTTTCCAAAAAAAAATTTCTCCCAAAATTTCTAAAATTAGGGTTGTCATGGAAAATTTTTATATATCCGGAACCGAGTCCAAAAAATTATCCTCGGCTCCTCAGTTCGATTCCTAACCTAACCGCCCTTTTTTCAAACCATTTAAATTAGAAGATAACGTAGTTAATTCTGCAGTACTCGTCCTTCTTGTATTATTAATTAAATTTAAATTATTATTATTCGTTGCTTTTCCATTAGAGTTCGTTTCAGTTGTAGTAGATGTTGAAAACCATTTTTTTCTATTTAAGGCAAAACTAAAACGTTTTTTGGTTGGTTTCTCCTCCTCCTTAGCTTGATTTTCTTCTTGATTTTCCTCCTGATTTTCCTCTTGTTTAACGACTTTCTGTTCGTCTTTTTGTTGTTTCTGTTGATTTTCTAAGGCTACTTGACCTCCATTTCTTCCCGAATTTCTTCCCTCATTTCTTAAAGGTGATTGGCATTTACTGGAGGTTGAACACCTCCTCTCCCCTCTCCCTTTCTTCGTCCCCTGAGGAGAAAATGAAGCAAATCTACAGGTATTAAAAGACGATTTTTTGACCAAATTTGTATGTTTTGAAACAAATGAAGCTGCTGCGGATTCACTTATTCCGCTAAATATAGCGGCTGCTGAAAATTTTTTTCGATGGTAGGAAGGGGTAGAAGTTGATGTATTTGGGGAAGATGTTGTGGTTGTATTTGATGTGATTGATAATTTATTATTATTATTTTTGTTGGAAGGATTGGGGTTGGTGTCTTCTATCGTTTGTGAACGCTCGATTTTTCTGAGCGGCATTTTTGTAGTGTTTTTATTTTATTTTTCGGAAAAAATTTTTTTTTGTTAATTTTTTAAATAAAATTTAATAAAAGGAAAAAAGTATATTGAAAATATAATCTCTTAAATAAATACAATCTAAATAAAATAAAAAAAAATGTTAGAAAATAAACTCTTCAAAGAAAGCGTAAAAAGAAATAATGCAAGTAAATTAGCCTCAATTTTAAAATTTATGGAAAAATATAATAGTCCAAGAAAGGGCTAAACCCCCAAAAAATTACCAAGAAAGATCAATGGGTTCCACAATTTGTATTTTTAAATTGATAGTATTAGGGATATAAAAAATTAGAAAAAACATATCACCAATCTTCGGATTGGGTTTCGGGCAACTAAAAACGTCTTGGTATAAATTAAAGATCGAAACAAGAAAAAATCGCAAAGTGATCTCATTTATCCCGAATTCTCTCGTAAAACCCGTGCAAATCAGGGCTGAGCGTTATGGCCTTGGGGGCCAGTTTGTCCGATTTTTGACGTTTGGTGTGTTTCTAAAATTTGAAAAAGTGGCGCTTAGCGTTTGGCGTTCCACGCGAAAATTTTGGCACACATCCCTGAACGGAATCCGACTGTAATTAAATTTTTGAAAAAATCCCCCAATTTAAAAATATATTTATTTCATTTTCATCCAAAAATAAATTTAAAAATCATCGATTAAGAGAGAGAGGCGCTTAGAAGAAAAAAAATTTAGAAAGAGCTTTGCTATACTATCATATGAAGGATTTTTTTAAAAAGCTTTAAATGAAACGTTCATCTTTTTAAAGATGATAATAAAGCAAATAAACAAACAAAAAAACAAAAAAAACGTGCGCAAGCAAAGTATTTTTGTAGAAGAAATGTGAAGGAAAAAGTAAGAGGGAACAGCTGTAAAAATTAAAAAATAAAAGGAGTTGTGAGATTTTTAGGAAGAAATTTTCATTAAAAAATTTAATGAAAAAGAAAAGTTGATAATAAAAAAATGAAAAACTTGGAAACTTGGAAAACTGGGGAATTTTCAAAAAATCTCTCAAGTTCCCCGACTTTCGGGGACGGGGGAAAGAAAAATGACAAAAATATAAATGAAAGCCAAATCGGACCCAAGTAACTATCAACACTTTTTCTGTAAAAAAAATCAGAAAGAAAAATGACAAAAATATAAATGAAAGCCAAATCGGATTTTCTTCTCTCCTTTTCTTTCTTTCACTCGATTAAAAAAAATTTTTTTTAAAGAGCTTTTCATATGTAAAAAATAAACGTTAGAAAAGAAGATGAGGAAGAAGCATAGCGCAGTAAAAAAATAGGAAAGAAAAAAAAGATTTTTTGGAAAAAATATTTTTTAAAGAGGCTTTAGAGAGAGAGAAATTTGAAGAAAATGAGAAATTTTTTTATCAAGTTAAATATAAATAAAATTTGGCCTTTTTTCTAGAGTTCAGCGGTATCGGGATTTTAAGAAAAACCCGGGATCGGGATTTATGAATGGTGATCCCGATCCCGATCCCGGATCCCGACACGGGATCGGGATTGGCCGAAATCGGGATCGGGATTTGGACTGGAGATCCCGATCCCGGTCCCGATCCCGAATCGGGACCGGGATTTAAAAATCGGGATCGGGATTTACTGAAAAATTTTTTTTATTTTTAAATTTTTATTTTCTTCTCAGTATAATTCTAAAATTGCCACTGCAGTGCTGAAATATTGAGGTTAAGTCTCATAAATAGACGCATAATTTACTTTCCGGTTCAGGGGATTAAGAGGGGATAAGGTATGTAGGGGGGGGGGCGCCGCAGGCAATATTTATGCGCAGGCAATATTTATAATTTTGGAAGGCCAAGGGCATTCAAGTTAAACTTTCAAGTCTATACAATTAAGTGCGTTACGTTCAAATGTAGACGATTAGAACTATGATTGAGGGATTAAGTGATATATTCATGTAGTATCTCTTAAGCCCTCAATTTCTCTTCAAATCTAACTTAATCCCTGTAAATCCACCGATATCCTTCTATACTCCAAATCCACCGATACTCCCCTCAACCCCTCTTGATCCCTCGATATCATACCAAATCACTCAATATTTCATTAAAGTGTAAAGACAGTTTTGTTTATTTTTGCGGCGCCGCAGGCGAAAATTTTGAGAATTTTGGATGTCAAGATGCCAAATTTCTTCCATTTTCTGCGCCACAGCCGAAAATTTTTTTACTTTCATGCCTCCCTTCTTCTGTTAACTTTATTTCGCAGACTTCTAGTCAATTTATAAAGTCGGGATTTTCATCGGGATCTGATGCACATCCCGATCCCGATCCCGGATCCCGGCTCGGGATTGAGATTGGCCGGGATCGGGATCGGGATATTTATTTCGGGACCGGGATCAGAAAAATCGGGATCGGGATTCGAAAAACCCGGGATAATCCCGCCCGATCCCGACCGGGATCCCGATCCCGCTGAACTCTACTTTTTTCTGTGTTTATTTTTCTTTGAGTTTTGATTTTTCCTTCTTCCTATACCCACCAAAAATATTTCTCTTTTTTTTTCTTTTTAATTCTTAAAACATTTAAAAAAATTAAGGAAGAAATTTTATGAAGGGGATACAAAAAAAAGAAAGAAGAGGGGTAGAAGGAGATAAAGCGCTACTGCCAGCTAAAGATATAAATAAAAAATAAATAAAATCAATTAAAATAAAAAAAGAAATATTAATTTTTTAAAAAGCTTATTATAAAAATTTTAAGGGGAAAGAAAAAGAGAAGAGATTATTGAAATGAGAAAAAATTAATTTGTTTAATGAAGAATTTTGTTGATGCGTCCCTGGAATATACCCCCACAGTCCTATGAAAACCCTTGACGAGATTTTAGGCAGAAACTCCGACACGAACCTGAACAGGGTTGTGCACCAAAATTTTCGCGTAGAACGCCAAACGCCAATTTTTAATTTTAAAAACACGCCAAACGCAAAACGCCAAAAATCGGCAAAAAATGGACGCCAAACGCCATGACGCTCACAAATCAGCCCTGAACCTGAAGGAAAGGTAACCCCTTCAATTCCCGACACGCTTAACCCCCTGATTTTTTTAATTTTAAAATAAATTTAAAAAAAGCTATATTTTGATAAGAATAAATTTATAAAATGGGGTGATAAATAAAATTTAATAAATAAAAAATTTTTAAATATTACATGTTGATAATATAAAAATGAAGAAAAAAATAATTTTTTTAATAAATAAGAGAAAGAAAAAATAATTAATAAATTAATAATAATATTTTTATTTTTATTAAAGTGCATTTTTCCATATAATTCCCATGGATAAAAAAATAGATAAATCCCATGAGAAAAAAAAAAAGATAAATGAAAATGTGTTAAGTGAAATAAATAAAAAATAGAGATAAATTAAAAATATTATTATTATTTAAATAATAGCAAAAAATATTAATAATTTTTCTTTTAAATTTTAAAAAAAAATTAATACTAAAATATATACAAGTTCTGATTTTTAAAAAAAATTTTGAATTTAATTAGCATGTATTTTACAACAATTCTGATTTATAAAATAAAGCAGGATTCTGAAAATAAAAAAATAGAGAGAAATTCTGATTCTGAAAAAAAATAAAAAAAAATTCTGAACATAGAGAAATTCTGATTCTGAAAGGATAGAAAATTCTGATTTTTAAAGAAAAGAAATTCTGAAATAGAGAAATTCTGATTCAGAAAAGGAAATATAAAAAATTCTGATTTTTATAAAATTCTAAAATAGAAAAATTCTGATTCTGAAAAGATAGAAGATTCTGATTTACAGAAAAAGCATAATTCTCATTGTTAAAGAAGAAAAATTCTGATTTTTCTGAAACAAATTTTTATTTAAAAACTTGAAGTATGCAGAAAGACACGTTAAAAGCTTGCAAAAAAACAAAAAAATAGATAAAGCAATTATTCTAATAAATTCATGCTCGCTAATTTCATTAGGACAAATTAGAATAAAAACAAAGGGAAATTAACAGAAAAAAAATAAAAAAGAGGAAGCTAAAAGTGTGCTTTTTCTCCAAGAGAATAAAATAAATGAGAGGATCTTCCCTCTTCCCCCACTCTTTTTTTCTACTTTGTATGCTTAACGGGCCATTTTCATGTCCCATTTCTTCCCTTCATTTTCTCATTTTCAAGTAGAAAAAAAATACAAAAAAAAATGCCAAAAAGAAAGAAAAAAAAGGTAAGTAGATAGGTAAGAAGAAGCAAAAATTTTTCTAGCTTTTTAGTGTGTGTGCTTTTTAGCTATTCAATAAATGTTAACAAATATATAACCAACCGCTTATAAATCAATAATGTGGCAAAAATGTGAAGCATTTAGAGTTGTTGGAGGGGTTTTTTAAAGAAAAAAAAACTAAAAAAAGAAAGAAGAAGACGTGCAAAATATATAATTAAAAATGAAAGAAAATAATTTAAATAAAGGAATAAATAATTAAAAGAAAAAATTTTAGAATGATAAAATGTTAAATGAAGCAAAATAACAAGAGGAAAATTAATAATTGAAGCAAAAGAATAAAAGTTGAAGCAAATAGTGTTAGAAGTTTGTAGCAAAATTCTGATTTTTAATTTCAAGTTTTAATTCAAGTTTTATTAGAAACAAAACAAACATGAGCCTTAAAAAATCAGAATTAAATTAAAACACATTAAAACATAAATGTATAAAACCAGAATTTTAATAAAACATATTAATAAATTTTAAGTTGGAAAAATCAGAATTTAGTTAAAATACAATAAAAAAATAAAAACAGATTTCTGGTTTTTATAATTGTTTAAGTTTTATTCTGGTTTTATCTGGTTTTTCTCTAGCGTGTTTTAATAAAATTCTGGTTTTTAGTTTTAATGTGTTTTAATTTAATTCTGATTTTTCTATTTAGTATGTTTTATTAAAATTCTGGTTTTTAATTTTAGCGTGTTTTAATTTAATTCTGATTTTTTACATTTATGTTTTAACATGTTCAAATTTAATTCTGATTTTAAGATAATATTTAATTATTCAAAAACAGAATAAGAAATACAATTGTAAAATTAAAGGAAGTTGAAACATGAATAAGTAGAAAAAAAGAGATGCGTGATATTTTATGTCATTTAAAGTAAATAAAAAAAAGAGAAGAGAGAATTTTAAAAGTTACCTAATTTAGAAATAAAATAAAAATTTCCAAGAAGTTGAAAAAAAATTTTTATAAATAAAGACTAATTTTAGATGCTCAATTTTACACTTTTTTTTGCAATTATATTAAGGAGAATCAATTTTTAGTTCTAAAAATTTATGAAAATTGGAAAAAAATATATAGAGCATGTTAATACATAAAAAAATTAAAAATATTAGAGCATATATTATTTAGTAGAAGAAATAATTCTAATGTTGTTCCTGGAGGAATAATAAATTTAATTTAAATTAATATAGGGTATAGGTAATTTTAAAATAAAAAATATAAAGTAAAAAATTAAGTAAAAATAAAAATTGTCAAAAATGATGTGACAAAAAAAAGCAAAAAATTGAAGAAAATAAAAAAAAAAATAAAATTTAAAACTTGATTTTTATTTTGTTTCCTTTATCTCCAAAAATAAACTCTCCTTTTTTCTCTAGGGAATAAATGTCTTGTTATGGAACACAAAAAGGAGGGGAAATGATTTATGAACAAATAAATTATGAATTGCGTAAAAAATGAATAATTTAAAATATTTTAAATTTTATTTAAATTTAAATTTAAATTAAATCAATAATTTAAAAATAAAAAGAAAAAAAAGAAACAAGAATTGTAAAAAAATAAAAATTAGTTAAAAAATTAAACATTTTTCAATTGCGTTTAAATTGTAAAATTTTAATAAAGTTTTTAAGTTGTAAATTAATTAAGGCTGGAATTATTTAAAGTTGTAATTATTTAATTTACAATTTGTAATAATTAATTAAACTTGTTTTACAATTTGTAACTACTTCGGGTTTTAAGTTGTAATTAATTAAACTTGAATTAATTAATCTACAATTTGTAATTATTTCAAGTTTTACAATTTGTAATTTATTAAAACTTGAAAATTACAATTGCACTTGTAAAAATAAAAATAAAGTTTTGCACATTACAATTGTAATTAACAAGTTGTAATTATTACAAATTATAAAACTTGAAATAATTACACAAGTTTATACAAACATTACAAATTGTAATTTACTCTTTAATTTACCCAAAAATGTTTCTAAAAATCAAGTGTAATTAATTACCCAAAATTATTTAAATGGTATTTTTAGATTCATGTCTTTTAAATTAATTTCTCCCCCAAAAAATGGTGCTTTATTTAAAAAATTATTTTAAAAAAATTTCTAAGACCCACCAGGACTTTCTAAAGGCATCAATATCCGTTTAGGAACCATTCCTTCATTTTCTCTCTGCCCTACTTTGTCCAAAACAGCAATTTTTACAAATTCATTATTGTTGTTATTGTCCTCTCCAATATCACAATTATTTAAAATTTCAACACGTTGACCAGACAAAATTGTTAATTGTTCTGAATTGGAGGCAGTGAAGTCTTCTGTTGTTGTGTAATATTGTTGTTGTTGTTTGTCCTTAAAAATAAAATATATTAATTAATTAATTTAATAAATAATAAAAAAATTTTCTAATTAAAAAATAAAATTAAAAATCAAAAAAAAATTAGATTAAAAATTGTAAAAAAATGAAAATCTTAAAATTTAAAAATAAATAAAAAATAAAAATAAATTTTAAAACCATTTTTTAAAATTCAATTTAAAAAAATTATAAAAATAGTGTATTAAAATTTACCAACAAAATTTTGAAAAATCTAAAATTAAATATAAACTTAATTGTAAATATTTACAATTTTTACAATTTAATTTACAATTTTTAAAAGACATTTGTAAAACTTAAAGCTTGCTGTAAACTTGCTGCAAACCCTCAACAAAAAATAAAACTTTTTTTACAATTTGTAAGTTTTAATTGTAAAATTAAAACTTTTTATTTATACAACAATTAAAATTGTAAAAAAATTTTTACAAAACTTTTTACAATTTGTAAAAAGTTTTACAAATAAGTTTTCTTTTGTTTGCCGCACTTGTTTTTACAATTTGTATTTTTTATTAAACTTTTTTACAATTTGTAAAAAGTTTCATAATTAAGTTTATTTTATTTGCTTGTTTTTACAATTTGTATTTTTTATTACCCATTACTTTTACAATTTGTAAAAAGAAAAAAACGTCAACTAAAAAAGGCATAAAATTAATGCCTTAAAATTTTTTTTCAAATTTTTAATAACCTCATTATTTAAACAATTATTTTGTACAAATAACAATGATGAAGAATTATTTGAGCAATCATTAGTAACCAAAAGTGTAATATCAGAGGAATTATTATTATTAGAATTATTTGTTGAATGACGAAAAGAACCGGTTAATTTACGTCGAGCTCTATCATATAGATTTTCGGTATGGGAACGAAGTGTACGGAATGATTTTGAATAACTCAACATTTTTTTAAAAATATTCTTAAAAATTTTTAAATTAAAAATATGAAGGAAGTAAGGATAAATAAACTAAGTTTACAATTGTAATATTTTTACAATAATTAAATAAACTTTTTTTACAATTGTAAATTCTTTACAATAATTAAGTAAACTTTTTTCACAATTGTAAATTTTTTACAATAATTAAATAAAACTTTTTTTACAATTGTAAATTTGTGAAAAAGGCGCGAATAAAGTTTTAATATTGTAAAACAAAGTTGTTTATAAAAAAGTTTATTTTACAATTGTAAAAAAATAGTTAATTGTAAAATTGTAAATTAAATTATAAAATTAAATTATAAATTAATAAATTACAATTAATAAATTAATTAAAATAATTAATTGTAAAATCAATTGTAAAATTCAAATTTTTTTTTAAAAATTCTGATTTTGAAAAAGAAAATTCTGAAAATTAGCAGTAGCTATAATAATTATAGGCAATAATATAGGTAATTTTTCGTTAGTTTTTTTTTTGATTCAATAGCTTTTCGATAGGACCCAAAATTTGGAAAAAAAGGAAATAGTGAGAATATTGAGGTATTTTGATGGGATATTTCATGAAAAAATATTTTTTTTAAATTAATACCAACAATTTAAAAAACATTAAAAATAAAAAATAAGTTTACTAAAACTTAGCGGGAACCTGAGGGTACATGTCATATTCTTAATCCTCCCGTTCTTAGTATTTAGTCTACAAAAAAAATAAAAGTTCCTTTAAAATTAAAAGGAACTCAATTAATAACACATATATCCTTTGGCTTAAAATTAAAAAAAAATAAATTGAATATTTGTCTGATATCATTAAAAAATAAAAGAAAAAAGTAAAAAAATTTCACTTAATTAGGGAATCATAAGGCAAAGTCAAAAAATTCATTTTTTTGTTTAAATGGCAAAAAAACACAAGAAAAACGAGAAAAAATTATAACAATACACAAACAGAAAAATGAGAAGAAAGAAAATTTAACACACACAAGAGTATATTAGCTAGTATATTGGAGACAGAAATAAATAAAAAAATGAAAGGCTCTCTGGAGTAAGGGACTAGTAAGGGAGAGGGAGAGGTTGGTTGGAGGTTTGGTTGGTGGCAAGGGGGAGCAGGCCAACTTACCGCGAGCCCAACTTATCGCAGAGATATAACTTCGTTAAGAATTGTTAAATCCGGGAAGCCTGGGTATAGTTCGATGCGCCTCGACGAGCTGAATAGAACCATACCAGATCATCCCAGATTCGACCATTCTGAACAGAGTTATAGCTCTGCGGTAAGTTGGACTCGCGGTAAGTTGGGGTTCACCAAAGGGTGAGGGAAAGGTTAGTGTTGGAGGTTTGGTTGGTGGCAACGAAACAATAATGCTTTATACGCTGGAAAGACTTGGGGGGGGGGGGCTTTGGTAGAGCTAGCTGTTCACACACAAACAAATAAACACAAAAAAAAATAAGCGCAACGCCATACGAGATTTTTTTTGCTCGAATAAAATGGCAATTAGAGAGTGTATATAAACTAGCCATGAAATAACCCCCGCGGGGGGAGAGTAAAAATAAATAAAAAAATTTCTACTATCATATTGCTTATATGCGCCTCAAAAAGAGAAAGAAAAAAAAATTTAAAATTTATTCAGTTGACATAAAGCCTTTCTTTTTTGGTTTTTTTAAATAAATATTTATGGGGAGAGAAAGATAAGGCAACGAGAAAAAGCAAGCCCAATATGTTTTAAAAAGCAGCTAATATTTATTTTATAGAGCCAATTATTCGCCTAATTCTTAGAATATTCTGGTTTTAACGAAAAAATTCTGATAATAAATTCTCAATTAAAAATTTAAAAATAGAAGAAAAAATACAGAAGTTTGAAACAAATAAACAATGAGTAAAATTCTGATTTAATAATTCTGACAAAGAAATTCTGAAATGAATTCTAATTATTATTCTGAAATAAATTCAGATTATTATTCAGAAATAAAAATTCTGATTTAATAATTCTGACAGAAAATTCTGAAAATAAATTCTGAGGAAAATTCTGATTAAATAATTCTGGAATGAAAGTTCTGAGAAAAATTCTGGAATCCAATTCTGAAATAAATTCTGATTAAAAACAGCTAAAAGAATGCCTAATCTACTAAAAATTCTAATTATAATGATATAAAATGATAGTAAAAGAATAAAAATATTAGTAGTAGTAGCACTGCTATTAACCTTCTCTTTTATTTTCTTCGTTAAAAAAAAGGAAAAAAAAAGTGAAACACCAAAAATTTATACACATATATTTAGGTAATACCTATATTGGCCAACAAAAAAAAACTCGCGTTTCTCTACGAGATTTTTAAAAAAAAAAATTTCTGTTTGTTAAAGTCAATGCGCTCTACTATGCATTTAAAAAAATTATTCAATGGTTCGGAGAAAAAAAGGTGTTTTTAATTTTAAATAGGCAGAAAAAAAAAGAGGAAAAGCCTAGAGGAAAGGCTAAATGTGTTAAAAAGAGTAAGAGAGACTTTTTGACCTAAATCCTTTCCATATTTTTAGAAAAAAAATTATAAACAAAAAATGAAAATGAATAATTTTTAGAAGAAAAAAAGAAGGAAGATTATTAAATAAATATGAGAGTAGTTAAAAAAATTTTTTTTTGAAAAAAAATTTTTTTTTGAAAAAAAATTTTTTTTTGAAAATTCTCTAAAGCTTAAAAGTCCTAATGCTTAAATTGAAAAAAATAATAAATCCAAAAAACAAAAAATGACGGATTAAAAAAAAATTATTGTAATTTAAAAAAAGGTTTCTAATTATTAAAAAATTTATGATTCTTGCTCTTCTTCTTATTATTATTAAAAAAAATTTTTTTTATTTGTCCAAGCTTTACAAAAATATAATTTTCTAGGTATTAGTAAAAGGATGTCAGTTTGGAACCGAGTTGTCGAAGAACAGAGGGATTATTCGGTTTGGTTGCCCGGATATTGAAAGGTTTTTCAATAACCATCAACCTACTATTGGAGAGACAATCCCGATCCCGCTTTTTCCGATCCCGCTCCCGAAATATATATCCCGATCCCGGCCAATCTCAATCCCGAGCCGGGATCCGGGATCGGGATCACCATTCCTCAATCCCGATCCCGGGTTTTTCTCTAAATCCCGATACCGCTGAACTCTAATAAATACTGAGGGACTATGCTTACTCGTAGGACTAATATTAAAAAAAATATCGGTTGAAAAATAATAATAAAGTTAATCCCTTCTATAGGTGTCTATTGTCTAAGAATAAAAAAAAATAATAATGAAAAAATAAAAAAAAACAATTATAAAAAATAATAAAAAATAATAAAGGAAATTAGAAAAAAAATCAAAAAAATTATCAAAATAAAGAAAAATTAAATTATAAAAAAATTAAAGCATTGACGTAAAAAATATCCCTACTCCCCTTACCCCCCTCTTCGGTTTAAACAAAAATTTTTAGTTTAAAAAATAATTTACCATCTTTTCCTCAACACATTTTTTCTTTAAAAAGCTTCCTCCTCCACCTCCTTTGTTTTTGTTTTCCCTCCTCCTTCGCAAATAATTATCTAACGAACTTGAAGAAGTTGAAGGAGAAGCTAGGGAAGTTGTAAATGAGCGGGTTATTGGAATATTATTTAAATTTTTTCGTTTATTTAAAGGCTTTTTCAATTCATCTGTAGATGAGGAAGTTGTTAAAAATGCTGTTTTTGTTTTTTCTAGTTGAAGACGAAAATTGGTAAATATTTTGGAGAGGCTGGTACGTCGATTAGTAGTGTTTACTTTGGTTGTTGGAATGTTGCTGTTGTTTTTATTAGTTATATCACCTATATATGAGTTATAAATTTAGGTATAAAATAGGGTCCAATATCTCTTTCCCGAAAAACTAACCATAATATAAAGGAGTAAAATAAAGTTAAATCAAAAACAAGAAGTTAAAAAATCTAAAATCAGACTAAAAAAAGGCATAGTAAGAAAGACATAAAGGATCAACGCCGGGCAGGATTGATCCCATAACCTCAAGTACTTATTACTATGGTTGTAGCCCGAACGCTCAGAGGTGGGTGTGTCGAGGTACAAGGTTTTTCCATTGTTTCGGGGCGAGGGAGCAAAATATTGTCGGGGTATGGAGTCGAAGTACAACTCTAGTTATTACTAGGCGCTTTCGCTAAACATGTAAACCGACAAAGCTATAGGGGCAAGGATTCACCTTCTCTATTAAATAGATATGAACCGCAACCTAGTAGTTCTCTTTTTGCTTGGCTTATCATTTATACACCTGATAAAGATGATAAAGACACACGTACCTTCCAAAGGCTTTTGATTGAGCTTCTTTATCTTCATATCCTCTTTTCCAATACTTCCTTCACCTTCACAACTTGGAAATGTATTATTAAATGTTGCTGAATAAACCATTTTTACTGTTTTCGCAGCCAAACCTTCCAATTTACTTTCTTTTTTATTATTTTTATTTTGTTCGTTTTCTTCTATAGGGAATCTTGAAGGAAGTAAATCAGCAATTGAAGCAGACATTTTTATACACGAAATATTTGAAATCGTTGGTGTTGTTCCGAGTAGATTATTATTTTTATTGGAAAATGTTTGGAGAGGTTCAGGGTCTTCATGCTCTTCCTCCCTATTATTTTTATTTAAGAGACCCTCAGGGAGGTCCAATTTAGCTTCAGAGTCCTCTCCTTGTTTTTCAGAATCCTCTCCTTGTTCCATCAAAATTTCTTCCATTTTTGTATTATTATTTGGGGAGAAGAAAATGACTGAAGAAGCACATGGTTTATCATCCATCATTTGACTGCTAACAAGTATTTCATTATTATTATTATTAATTTTAGCAGCCGATGAGTCATCCTTTTCTTGTGAAATCTTGTGGTTTTCCCTTTTTTCTTCTTTAAAATCCATATCCTCATTTAATTCTCCAATATTTTCTTCTTCATTATCTTCTATACTAAACGATTTAAATTTGTCTTCCAAAGAGTTTTGTTGATTCAAACTTGTTCCAAAGGCATCAGACTGACTTTCCAAACCACACTCTTCTTTATGACTTCCTTCTCCAGGCTTTTCTCCCATTATTGGCTCTCCCACAAAATTTATTTTGTCATCAGTAGTCTCAGAAATTGTTTTTTCTTTAGTTGAAACAAATTTTTCAATTTCTTCTCCTCCTTCCTCTATCGTTTTTTCTTCGCCAAAATAAATTTCATTTGGAGGTGTGCTGAATAATAAAGGAGATGTGGAAGGATCATCTTCAGATTGTTGTGACATTTATTTATTTATTTTTATTAAAGCTGTTTTGTAGTTTTAAAAATAAAATTGAAGGTTTAAGAGGAAAAATATGGGTAGGGGTATGTTTGTGTTTGTTTTATAAGAGACTGGATATAAATTGATGAAAAAATATCACAAAAAATATAAGAGGAGATAAAAATTGGCTATAATAAATTGTGTGGATAATCAATAGAGAGGTAATAAATATTAAACTTTTCTTTTTTTTTTAATTTTTTTGTTGAAGCTAAAAGCTTACAAACCCCCTTCCACATATAACCCATATATTCGCAAGAGTGAACTTAAAAGTTTGAACTTAAAAAGTTTATTTTATTCCGTTATAAACAAGTTTAATTTTGTGTTTTTACAATATTCTGATTTTTATAGAACAAGTTTTAATTATTTACAACTTGTTTAAATAAATTCTGATTTTTAAAAACATGTTTATATTCACCTTTAAAACATGTTTGTTTATTTCTCAACATGTTCATTTAAAATTCTGATTTTATACAATTGTGTTTTAGTTTTTGAAAAATTCTGATTATAATTAAAAAATTCTGGTTTTCAAAACAAGTTTATTTTTTCAGAATTAAATCAGAATTATTTTATTAATAGTAAAATCAGAATTTTTAAAAATAAAAATACAATTGTAAAATCAGAATTTTAAATAAACTTGTTTTAAGAGCGAATATAAACTTGATAAGAAAATTCTGATTATAATTAATAAATTCTGATTTTTCAAAACAAGTTTAATTAAAATTATGATTTTTCAAAACAAGTTTAATTAAAATTCTGATTTTTCAAAACAAGTTTAATTAAAATTATGATTTTTCAAAACAAGTTTAATTAAAATTCTGATTTTTCAAAACAAGTTTAATTAAAATTCTGATTTTTCAAAACAAGTTTAATTAAAATTCTGATTTTTCAAAACAAGTTTAATTAAAATTCTGATTTTTCAAAACAAGTTTAATTAAAATTCTGATTTTTCAAAACAAGTTTAATTAAAATTCTGATTTTATTAAAACAAAATAAAATCTCCCATAAAAATTATGAAAACTTAAGTACTTAAAAAAGATGGAAAAAATTCAAGTTTGCGAATATATGGGAAGTTTGTACTCTTCCCCTTTCTAGACTACACTAAAAATCTCACACAATTGTTCTTTATATTAATTTTTAACGTTTTTATTTTTTTGAAAAAAATATAATTAAACAGCTGTTGCTTAAAAAATAAATTTTTTATAAATAAATGAAAATGTCAAGTGTGTAATATAAAAAAATATATAAAAATCCTAGAAAAATATTACAACATCCCACGTCTTCCCATTAAAATTTTTATAAAAAAATAAATAAATATATTTTTGAAAAAAAATATACTTATAAAGTTAAAATTATAAACATGTTTATCAAAAATAAAACTTTATTTTTAATAAAATACTAAGAATAGCAATAAGAAAAAATAATCAAAATAAATATAATGATGATTTAGTTACTTGTAATTTAGATATACTCACACCTCTAAACCCTAATTATATTTTAGAGTTAGAGCAAAATAGCAAAATTTTATTCTAATCAGCTCTTATTGGGGGGTGGGGTATAAAGTAGTGTAGCACCCCATCCCCCGATTATTTTTTGGGCAAAAACCCCAACCCGAATCCCGAAGGCTCTACCCCGGCAAACTTCAAAACTCGACACTCTCGCCTACGAAGGCTAGGAGTGTTACCCTAGTATAAAGAATAGCTACCCTGATTTTAAACATCAACAGAAAAAATTGAAATTTTGAGAAATTTAATGAAAATATGCAAAAAAAAAGTAAAAAATAGGCAAGAAAAAATTAATTAGAAAAAATTAAACGAAAAAATTACAATAGAAAAAAAACTCGAACATTTTAAAAAAAAACTATATTTTTTTAAATTAAATTAGGTAAAATTTTTTATAAATTAAAAATTAAATATTCAAGAAAATGAGAAAAAATATTTTTGTTTTAAAATTAAATTTCCCACCTCAACAAAATTGATATTATTATTCTCATATCCACCATAATTTAATTGTTGTTGTTGCCCATTTTCTTCTTCATTTTTTATTATTTCACGCATAATAACTCCTTGTTGTTGTTGTTGTTGTCCTCCACCTCCTCCCCCACCTCCACCCCCACCTCCACCATTAGATGAATATAATAAACTATTATGTCCACTATCTATACTTTGATAGGAAGCATTTTCTTCTAAAGGTAATTGAGCTAAAGCTGTACTAGCTACCACAGATTGTAAAATTAGACTAGATTGAGAATCTCTTGATCCTCTATTGCTTTCTTTAAAAAATTTAAAAATTAATTTTTATAAAATAGAAAAAAAATTTTTTTTTGAAATTTTGGGAGGGCCAACAAGCCAGACTTCACTTGTTTTCTAAAAAATGAAATAGAAAACCAAAAAATTTCTTAACTCGAGTTTTGTTTACTTATCCTAATTTGATAAAATATTGTAAAGCAGTGTGTTTTGACCGCAATTGGAATAAAATTTAGAGTTGAAACCCGAACCGGATCCCGACAGGATTTAAGGGATCTCGTGGTCCCGATTGAGGTATTTTGATAAAAATAATAATTTTCGAAATTTTGATACCAAAAATCCGGTCCGAATAAAAAAAATTCGTGAATCTTGAATCGGGATTAGGCAGTTCCCAAACTTTCAACTCTAATAAAATTGCAGACTTTGGGAATTTTTTTTTAATTTTAAAATTAATTAATTTACCAGTATTACTCCCTCCACCACCACCTCCAGTTTTATGTCTACCAATATCCATTTTCAAATCCCTCAAAGTTTTAACCCATAAAATTCTTTGTGCTTCTGTATTTGCTTTCAAAACTGTTGTGTCATTTTGACAAGGGAATGCACTCTTTCTTAAACCAAATTTTGTATTGTCACCTTCAATGTGTTCTACAACGTGAAGTTCTCGAAGCTTAGAAAAAAGAAAAAATAAAAATTTATTTAAATTAATTTTTAAATATTTATGAGGGAGGAGGGAACATGGGGGTGGTTTGAAAAAAAATTTTTTTAATAAATCTGTCAAAATTCCTATATAATTTTGGAAGGCACCCAAGTAATTTTACTTTAATTGGATTAAAAATTGAAAAAAAAAATTCTGGGAAATTTTTTATTTGTACGTGTAAACGAATGCTTGATCAATCGTACATTAGTAAAGGAACAATAGTTTTTTCAGTGAAGATGGTCATATAATTTAGTTTTAAATTGAATAACCCCAGACCTTAAATTTTCCCAAAAGGGACACATTCCTACAAAAGGGCAAACTAAGAGAGCTAATTTATTAATAATAAGGTAGTTTAATTAATTTTATTTAATTAAAATTTTTTTCTTTAACACTTACCAACATAGAATCTTTAAATACATAACCAATCTTTTTTGAAGACAATTCTTCCCTTTTAGTAAAAACAATGTTGGATTCAAATAAAAATAGTTGAAATTCACGTTCTCTTTTAAAATAACGTTTTGGTTCGGAGACAAGAAATATATCTTCAAAATTTTAAAAATAATTACAAAATTTTAAAGTCCGCAAGAAATTGGTTCGCAAAAATTTTTATCCGCAAAAAAATTTTTTTGTTTTAAAATAAAATTCTAATAATCACCTTGCATAACAAAATCACCAACATTATATTTCTGATAATCCTCAAAACTTTTTAAATGCATACGATCATTAGCCAATTTTGGGATACTCAAAACAATTTCATAAGCATTCTATAAAATAATTAAAGAATTATTTTTTAAATGAAAACAAATTAAGTGGGGTTAAAAACCAGCCCAAATTCAGGTTAATGTTAATTCGAAAAAAAAAACTTTTTTTATTTTTCTTAGAAAGGAAAATTTTTAGGAGCACCTGGGCTGCACGCAATTATAAAAGAATTCTCCAAAACCGCAATTTTTACTATTAAAATCCGCAACCAAAAGTCAAAAAATTGCGTGAAGCACTGAGGAGCACACCGAAAAAACCCCAAAAATTCTCAATTAAAAAAATTATTTTTAGGGCTGGACACAAATATGATTAACCAAACCCGAAACCGTAGCAAAAAACTAATGCTTTTTTCCGATTAACCAACACCCAAAACTGAGGGTCAAAAATCTGTGATAACTGAAAACAGTGTATGTACCAATTACTACAATAACCCGTGGTTGTGTTCAACCCCAATACTCAATAAAAAAAAATTCACCTTAATTTCTTTTGTATTTTTTGTGCAATGTTTAAATAGCTCTTTTAATAAAACATGATATTTTGTAATTCTTTGGACAGGTTTAATAACTAAAGATGGGAGATCTTGACAATGCTCTAAATTGTGTTGTTCTCTAATTTCCTGTATTTTTTAATTAAAAATTATTTAGATAAATTATTTATACATATATAGAATTTTTAAAATAAAATTCAATTGTTAAAGACTAAAGTTCTAGTTTAAAAAATTTTTCTGCGGACTTTTTAAAAAATTATTTTATTAACAAATGTGGATGCGAATGTTGATCTATACATTTCTTTAATAATTTTGCAATCCCAGTCTTTTAATTTTTTTAAAATCAGGGTGTCTGGTGGCTGAGAAAAAAATCAGGTTTCGAGTCGGATTTTTACGAAGTTCCCGGTCCCGAGCTAAAAAAAGGCAGGATTTCGCTATAGGGTTTCAGATAAGCCGTGATATTCCTGATCAATATGTTCAACACCGTGTTGGTAAAATATTTTTTTTTAATTTTTCCAACCAACCGAAAACATAGTAGCCGCTTCCGGTAGACAAATTAGATAATTATTTTCTTCTTTATTTAGGCAATAATCAGCATATAATTCTTTCAATTTTTCCATCCAAGCAATAAAACAATACCCAACATCTTCTGGATTTTGTTCATAAGAATACAATTCGGATAGAAAGATTTTTGAATGGAATTGGTAAAGCTCTTCAATATTTCCAAATATTTCACGTTCTTTTCCTCGGATAGCTAAGGGGCACATTGACCCAGCAGTTTTATAGGCAAACAAATAGATATCGATACAGCGACTTAAAAATAAAAAAATAAATTTTTAGGAAAACTTTAAAAACCAGAAAAGTAAGCAAAAAATCCTACGCTAAAATAATGGAAATTTATATACCGTAAATTACTCTAATATAAGCTGGTTTTCGAATTTTAAATGTCTTTTTGCTTGGACTTATATAAGAAATGGGCTTATAATAGAGCTAAGCTTATATTAGAGCATTACGGTATTCATTAAGAGCTTTTAAGTACAAGCGAGATGACTGTGCAAGTCAGACCCAAGATAAGGAATTAACCCTTTTGGACCCTACTTATGACTATGGATCTATGGGGGATAGGAGATGAACTCCAAGGACTGGGCCTGTGGCGCATAACGGGTCAACATCCATCCTATCAGGTTTTTAGTAAGGAATTACCTACTTTGGACTCCTACTCCTATGACTCGAAATCTATGGGAGACCAGAGGCTGGGCATGTGCCCAGGGCCGGGCCCATGGCAAATACCAGTCAACATAAATCCTCAGTTTTTAGATAAAAATATTTTTTTTTCAAATATTTTTACCGCATATCCTCAATATAATCAGCTTCCGATTTAAGTAATTCTTTCATTGGTTCAGCAATTTTCTTTTTTTGATTTAATAATTCATCATCTTTTCCACTACCCATTAATTTATCTTCTATAGCACTATCACTATAACGATCCAAACATAATTGTTCAGTTTTTGCTGGTTCCATTATTGGTGTAACTTGTCCATCTAACAATCCATTTAATTCATTTCTAACAGTTTGTTCACTTTTTGCAAGCATTGTCCAAATATTTTGAAGCTTTGTTTTTGCCAATAAAGAATATTTTTCAACTTCAACACTGTGGAAATCACTTGGGAAGGATTCCAAAAATTTTTTTGCTTCACCCAACATTTTACGAACTTCATAACGTTCAACCTTTAAAGAATTGTGGATTAATTAATTTTTTTGATTGAAAGGACTTGAGATAATTGGGAATTTTAAGATTTCCTCGTACCCGTCCTCTCGTAAAAGCCCTGATTTTGGGATATGTCCTCTCATACAGGCATCAATTTTAAAACACGCCCAAGTAGGCGCGCGGCCAAGTAACTACCTGGAAAATTTCTAGACCTTAACAATTTTGGTACTGATCTTTTTAGCTCGATGGGAGAAATAGTTTAATAAAAATTTTTGAAAGAAACTGAGACTAAAAACTCAAAAAAAGGTTTCAACAAGCTTGAGCTCTTATGTCTTAATACCTGCTAATTTAGGTTTACTCCTATAATGGCACAAGCTTAACACAAATCCTACTCCTATTAATAAATTTTAATCCTCACATAAGGGAAATGCGCTGTTCCCGGAGGTTCCCAGAGGTAAATTCAAGTTCTAAGTTCAAGCTTGAAAATAAGGAAAAAATCATGATTTCTGTATAATTCTGATTCAAGATTTAAGAAAAATAAACCATAAACATTTTTTAAGTTCAAGCTTAAAAATAATTTTGATTTTGTAACAATACACAATTTCTTTCCCTCTTCCCTTACCTTAACCAAATCCCTCAACGTTAAACAATGTTCCAACAATTCTTCCAATTTTTTACGTCTAGATAACAAATCCAATTTTTGTGCTTTTTCAACATTTTCTAAAATTAAAACGCAGCTAGCCAATTCTCTATCTGACCAGTCTATAACATTTTTTGCCATTAATTTAATTTTCACACAATTTTTGCATTTGTCAATTTTTGTATTACATTCAGTCCATAAACGTAAAATTATTTGTTGTCGTTCTCTTATTGTATCTTTATATTTTTGTACTTCATATAGACGGGATTCTACATGTTCTCTAGGTGCTTGTATACGTCTCATAAAATTCATAAATTGATCGGCTGTTCGTTGAGCGTAAACGCTTGCCTAATTTTGAAAAATTTAAAAATTTTAATAAAAGAATGGGATAAAAAATTCGAAAAAATTTTTTTGGCTCTGGTTCAGTCCATAGAAAATTATAAGTATATATATCCAATAAAAATTTATGAGTACATCAGGGGATCAAGAGAATTTTCTACTGGTATCCCGGCTAGAGATCGGTATTTTTAAAAACGTTGGTCTGCCCTTTGGATTTAGGTTAATAACATGGACAGAATTCTTGATCCAGAAAAATCCAGGACGATCAAAAAATGCATGGATCTGGACTCTGGATACAGGAAAAATCAAGACTGGATCCAGTCGATCTCTAATTCCGACATCCCTCCAAATATCCCTAATATCCCTAATATCCACTTTAAGGGTGTATAAGCCTTAAGGGCTGACCCCTTTAAAATTGAGCATAAAATTTTGATTGGACTCATAATTTTGCATTAGACGCAGAAACATTTCATTGGACTCATAACTTTTATTGGACGCCTAGACTAAACCAGGGCCAAAATTTTTGTAATAATTTCAACAAATTTCTCCACTGTAAGAATCAATGTTTAGACATTTAGAATGAACTTTTTTAAATTATTAAATATTTTTGGGAGGAAATTTTTCGAGGCCCTTTTCCCTCGTACACGTGTCCGCCTTTTCCTGCTCTACAAATTTTGCTACGAGGCTTTTCCAAACACTGATCAGGATTAAAAATACCCCGGAAAATTCAAAAAAATTTTTTTTGAATTTATTTTTGTGCCAATTTCACACTTTTCCCTATCGGATTAGAAAGTTCCTCAAAAATCAGCCTAAATTCCCCCTCAAAAAATTTTTTTATTTCAAAACACACCTCCAAAAATCGTTCTTTATGACTTGAATGTTTTTCAAGCCTTTCTTGTGTAGATTCATAACAATGTTCCAAACTTATCCAACTTCCTGATTTACAAAAATCACCATCTCTATCAACAGAAAGATCCTTTTCGATTGATTGCGATGTTGGAAGAAGCTGAAAAATTTTAAAAAATTAATAGACATTTTTAGATAAAATATTAGAATATAAAATCATAACTATGAATAGGATCTTCAAGTTTATTATTTATTTTTCCGTGGACAACCCAAGGTCTGAGGAGTCCTAAAAACTCCTAATATACAAGTCCCAACTATCCGGACCTAGACGAGATCTCGTCGGTTTTCGAGACCACGTCTCAATTTTCGCAACACTCCCAGTCCGGGCTCTAGCCTAATAAGTCTTAAAAATTCAATACCTAATCATAACTAATCAACAAAGAATGGAAGTCTGAAAAAATTAAGTGACGACTTTGATCAGATAAAGTTAGACACAAGGTACAATGAAAAATTCCTTAATCTTAAATCCTGCTCCAAGAAAAATCAAAAAGCTTAATTCAGATTCAGGCCGATCCTTCATAACAAAGCCCTATGAAAGGAGTGTTCCATAATGGGTATATCCCAGTGATGGGTTGGTTCTCGGTTCTCTAATTAGCTTTTAAAAATGCGGCAAATGATCCTTCCTGATTTTCACAAGACTAATCTATCCCACACTGTTCGGTTTAATTATTATTTTTTTCTTACCAATTTTGTATATTTATAATAAGAATTAGCTGCAGTTAATAATTTATATCTAATATCAATTAATCCAACTAAAGATTGCCATTTTGCTTTAACATCAGTTAATAAATTTTCAGCTCTAACTCTTGTTTCTGCATGAGATTCTAAAGCTAATAATGGAAGTGATGTAAAATGTTCTTGTAAAATCGAGAAATTTTTTCTTCAAACTTCTAAAAATTAAAAAAAAAAGAGATTAATGGATAAACGCGATCATCCCCCTACTTTCAGTCAACCGCAGAGCTTATGACTAAGACTTAAGAAAGTTAGATCTGAAATTTTTGTGCATGATTCGAAGTATATCATAGAGGTAAATTAGTGAATTAGCTGATACCAGTATTATTCACAGTCGATTAACTGACAAAAACTGTAAGGCTAAAGACCGGTGATAACCCCGAAAATCTGAGGCAAATACCAGAGATACTGCCGTTCCGATTCTCGAAAATCGAATCGGAACGGCAGCCCGAAATCGTGAATTCCCGTTCCCGAAATTTTTCTGAAAAAATTGGGAATTTTCGGTAATTTATTTTCGGTGCCAAAAATAGACTGGCTTCGACATTTTTAAGTTCAGTTCTAAAGCTCTCATAAACAAAACAAAATCTAATATTTCTTATCAAACCCCACCTCAATTTCAATTCTAAATTCATTAAAATATTTTGTTTCCAAATCAGTTTCTTGTTCATTTCCTGGAATATGAAAAAATTGACGTAAACGCATTTGTTGTCTTTCTATTGCTTCAACAATTTCATGTGCCATTTGTCTAAGTTTGCTTAAATGGATGCTTAATTCTATTCGATGAGATATGTCTTTGGCAATCTATAAAATTTTTTTTAATTAAAAAATTTTCATTTATCCATACATTCATAGCTTCATCTTCCAAATTTTGCAATTGTTTTGCAGCTGTAACTATAGCTTCTTCAACAGGAATGGTTGAATCTGCAGCATAAACCATATGTAAATTTTTAGTTTTTATAAGCTTAAATTTAAAATTTAAGAAAAAAATTTTTTTAACAAGATGTATTTTAAAAGCTATAGCTTAAAAACAATGTGAGAAAAAAAACAGAATTTCAAGAGATGAGATTTTTAATAGCTATAATAATTTTTTTAATTTTAAATAAATTTCGTCAGTATTAAAATAATTAGCATTCATGTATCGTTTAATTTTCTTACTCTTTGCTATGCTCAAACGACTCAAAGAAGTAACAAATTGAATGGCCAAAACTTGGCCCAACGTCTTTTTTTTCAAAAAATGGATATCATTCCACGGAAATTTGGGGAAAATCAGTCACGGAAATCAATCTCTTATAGAATCTCCTAAACCAAATTTTGACAACTAAATGTAGAATTAAGGGCGAACTGTCCCCATAATTTTTTAAATTATCAAATCAATCAAATCAAAGCAAACACACCTCAAGTATTTCAGACAATTGTTTCATTGCATCACTAACAACTTGTTGAACTTTAACAGTATTTTGAGTATGATATTGTTTAATAACTTCTACAGTATTGCTAACTGAATGCCGTAAACCCTGCAAATCTTGTCGCCAACTTTCCAATTGTTTTTTAATTTCAAAACAATCGCGAAGAAATGTTGAGATTTTAGAAGCTGTATTTAAATATATACGTTGTTCTTTCCAACGTTCTTTTTCGTTTAAATGTCGATTTTCTAAAAAGATAAAGAAATAATAAATAGGAAAATTTTAAAATTTTTAAATCCCAAGCTATTAACTTGAGAAGATAAGGCGTAAAAATAAATTTCAAATTTTTCAAGTTCAAACATGAGAATAAACGCAAGTTTTAAGCTTACGATAAAAAACTAAGCTTAAGACGTGTGCCTATCCGAAAAGAAAAATTAAAATTTAGAAACTAGAGATCGGAAATTCAAAAAACTTAACATGATTCTGATTGAGAACCTTGACTAGATTCTTGAACTCGAGTCAGCGAATAACTAATGTAAGGTCAAGGAAAAATTAAGAAAAAAAATGCCTGAATCTTGACTTAGGATTAGAGATCGTCGAGTACCGAGTAATTGGAAAAAAATCAAGCTCGAGTATGTCGAGTTTGAAAAACCCGAGTTCGAGTTCAACCTTTTAGGTCGAGTTTAGGTACGAGTTTCGAGCCGAGTAATAACGCAAAAACCCTGAGCGGTCGGGTAGAGTAACTCGAACTCGCTCGCCGGACGTACTCTACTTAGGATCCAGGAAAAATAAAGGCATGGATCCAGATACAGGCTGATTCCTATTAGAACCATAAAATCCGTAAAAATATAAACATTCCAAAAGCTTTCAAGTTCAAACTTAACAACATAAAAATTTAAAAACGTTACCTATATCCTTTATTAAATGCTCCACATGTGTTACAGATTCACTATTATCAATATCAAGCAATTCACGTTGTTTTTGCAACGATTGTAACAATTCTTCAGCTTCAGCCATTACTCTACCATATGCTTGGTCAGTCAATTCATTATCATGATGAAAAGTAGCTTTATTTTTTTCACAGTGATCTACAGATTCTGGCACTATACAAATATAATTAGCACGACTATCCAATTTACTATACCAATCCATAATTTCATCATAATGTAAATAAAAATAATAGGCACGATGAAGTCTAAAATGAGAAAAAAAATTTTTAATAAAAAATCATCCAGAAAATAAGTTTAAAATTGAAAATAAATTTAAATTTGTATATTACAACAAGGAAAATGTGGGTTCTTGATTTCAATTCAGGACTTTACCAGATACTTATTCTCAACATTGAATCAAAGAGAAATCAAAAAACACTGAAAAATAAATCCTTCCGCTTTTTCGGGAGATTTTCCGGAAGAGGTAAAACAAATGTACTATCTATCTACTCAGATCCGAAATATAATAGAAAAAGAAATGTCCCGAAAATCAGTCAGTCAACACACCCGTCAATCCTACCGCTATCCAACTTATCGTTGCCCAGAATTTTTATTCATTTGTGCGGGGATTTACAGGATTGGGGAGATTAAAGGGCGTATATCAATGGATTTTTGGAAGAATAAAGGGGGCATCGACGGAAAATAACAAAAATTATGAGAGCAAGGGGATATCGGAGGACTTGGAGCAATATCGAAAATGACCACATTGAAAGAATATATAAATCTATCTGGAAAGCTACTTAAAACTTAATTATAAAATCCAGAAAACACATTAAAATTAATTAAAAAAAACTAACAAAATAGTTCTGTGTTCCATACACCGTTTAAAATTATTAATTTTAAGTAATAATTCTTCCACTTTTTTATTTGCTTCAATTCTTACTGATTCATCTACAAAAAAAAATTTAATTTTTTTTTTTTAAATTTCTTTAAAAAATTCCCACCAGCATCATCCAAAACATGTCTCAATTTAAATATTTGTTCAGCATTTTTATTTGTATTTATAGCTACAGCACGAAATTTTTGATGGTTTTGGGTTAAAATGCTAGCTGATTCTGGATCAACACCTATTCCAGTTTTTCTATGAAGGAAAGGTTCACCATGTTGATTTAACCAGTCGAGAACCTTCAAAAATAAAAATAATAAACAGAAAAACACATCTAGTTATTTTTCTAAATCAAATATAACAAGAGCGTAGCTAGGCGGTTAATTTCAGGGGGCTAAATTGGGGCGTGCAACTAAATTTTTTGTTATTACTATTTTAGCACCACAAACTAAAATTTTTGAGTTTGGAAGGCCAGTAGGCTAAATTTCTTTCATTTTCAGCGCCGCAGGCGAAACTTTTGAGAATTTTATAGGGTGTAGACAAAAATTGACTTTTTAAATTATTTTCCTCCCAAAAGCTTTTCATTTTCCTTTATTTCGAGGGGGGGGGGTGGCTTTATCCCCAGAAACCACCCTTGGGCTACGCCCTTGAAATATACACTAATTTATTATCAACTGCACAAGAATCCGGAAAAAAACACCCCAAAAAATCTTTTTTTGAAAGAATCTGAAACATAACAAAAGACACAACCCCATTCACACATTAGTATTTTAAATATTTTAAAATTTTAATTTTATTAGTATTTTAATTACCGTAAATATCCTAATAGAGGCCCATCCCTAATAGAAGACCATGCCCTATTAGAAGCCCACCCGATGGGGGTATTGAAAAATACAAGCCCAGGACTTATATTAGTATTTACGGTATTTACAAAAAACTCACAGAATTTAAATCAGTAACAAAATCAGCACTAGATAACTTATTTTGTATAGTTAAATCTCTAGCTTCCCAAACAGTATTAATTCCTTTAAAAGTATTCCCAATTAATTGTAAATTGTCTTGAATTATTGGAGTTATTGACAATTTATTTATAGATTCTCCAAAATATTTTTTTAATAATTTTAACAATTGTTGTAATTCTTCATTAGCTTCAGCAAAACTTGAACGATACAATTTTTGAAATTCTTGATGCCTTTTTGCTGCTATTGGTAAATCATTGACAGAAATTTTATTTGGATCTACTCCTACATCTATTTGCCAATGATCTGCACTTTTTAGAAACTGTGGGATAAAAAAAATTTTTTTTGAAGATTTTAAAGACTACTAATTAAAAAGAAGTTTCCGAAATTCTTTCAAAGAATTGACAGAAAATTTTATGGTATTAGAATCTGAAAGGAACCAGAAGCGCTCTAAAGTTGGTGACAATTGGTTAAAAACGAATTTTTTTCAAAGCTTTTGAGGTAACAAAAATATCTAGAAATTATTTGGAGTTCCATCTTAATAAAGATGTAGCTAAAATACCCTAAAACCCCCAGAATCAAAAATTGAAAAATTAAAAAACTGGTAATGATCGATGTGTGAGGGTGCGGCAGAGCAAACTTCCCTTGGCTACACCCGCGTGACAGAAGAAAAGCAAGATTACAGGATCCAGATCACAAAAAAAACGGGATCCAAAAATATTCAGTTAAGAAATCCGAAGAATTCTCGGGACTCTTAGAGACAGGTATAAGTTAATAAAAGCGGCCAGTTGTCAATTCCTCAAAATATTTTTAAAAAAGTTTAAAAATTAACCAAATTGCATTTTTTATGTGCACTAGCAGCTAATTGTAATAATTGTGTTCTAGCATCTATTCTTGATAAAAATTGATTCCAATCATTTTTTAATTGTAATGAAATACTTTCAATTTTATTTAATCCAAATTTTTGAATATTTAATAAACGAATACCAACAGTTATTACTTGAGTATAACTAACTTCGATTTTCTAAAAGAAAAAATGAATGGAAATCAAGGTTAAAATTGGGTAACAATTAGAGATCGGTCTAGACCTGGATCCAGTCTGGATTTTTCTTGGATCCAGAGTCAAGATCAAGACATTTTTTGATCGTCCTGGATTTTTTTCTGAATTCAGATCAAGAATCCTGTCCAGATTACTAAACTGAATCCAGATCGAGAATCCAGATCCAGGATTTTTGAAAATATCGATCTCTAGTAGCAATATAATACCTAGCTTAAAAATCTTCGAAAGGGACTGGGGATTAACCACGGAACCGTAAAGATTGGAGAAAAAATTTTTTCAGAAAAAAAATCCGTCATAATTTCTATTTTTTCCAAACATTTATTTTAAGCATTTTTCAATTTTTGAATAAAGCAAGGAATCCTGAATTAACGTTGTCAGTTCGGAGACAAAGAAAACCCAACTGAAAAATCCCGAAAATTTTTTAGGTTTAGTTCCTTTAGGTTCTCCAAATATTCAGAGATTTAATAGTACCCAGGCCCGTAACCAGGGGGGGGGTGAGGGGGGGAATTCCCCCCCCCCCCCCGAAATGGGAAAAAGGAAAAAATTTGGGGAAGGGCTGGGGCAAAAAAGTGAATTTTTTTGGCCTACGGCCTTCGAAATTTTCAAAATTTTCGCCTGCGGCGCTAAAAAAGGACGAAATCTGGCTTCTTGAGGTCCAAAATTCAAAAAATTTTCGCCTGCGGCGCTGAAAATCAAATTTTTGGCGCCTGCGGCGCCGAAAAAGTGAATTTTTTTGGCCTACGGCCTTCTAAAATTAAAAAAATTTTCGCCTGCGGCGCTGAAAATAAAAATTTTTGGCGCCTTCGGCGCCAAAAATTTGGCGCAAGCAAATTTCCCCCCCTCGAAAAAAAATCCTAGTTACGGGCCTGATAGTACCGACAACCCTCTAATCCCCTAATATTAAAAAAAAAAGATTTTTTTCTCTTGAAATACCAGACATATTGGAACTTATAAGATTCCCAAAAACTCAAACAAAAAAATTTTTTTAATTAAAAAAATTCAAAAAAAATTTTTTCCTTACTTTAACAGATTCAGCAAAATCCAAATGTTCTTTTAATAATCTATTTGTTTCGAGTTCATTTTCTCCAATTAAAACAAAACGGTGTGTAAGGCTATTAAAATGTTTACAAATCCATTGAGAAAGCTAAATTAAAAAAATTGTTTTTTTAAATTAAAATTTAAAAAAATAAACATTTTCAGCATCCTGTTCAAATAATTTTAATTGAGAATATTGATCCAATTCAGTTTTTCTAGTTTCCCAATTATAAAGCACTTCGTTTCTAAAATTAAAAAAAATTAAAAAAAATTTAAAATACAAATTAAACATATTTTTAAAGTAAACAACCATTGCCTAAACTAATAAAGGATGGATCTAATTGAAAAATAAAAACTGAGTCAGGTTTCAGGTAACCCAAATCACATCTCTGATTCGCCCACCTACGCACAAAAAATTAACCAATATACTAGAGATCGAGTTGGGTCTGGACCAAGGCCTGGGTTTTTCCTGTACCCAGAGTCCAGGCCCATGCATTTTTTGACCTTCCTGGGTTTTTCCTGGACAAAGGCCCAGGATTCGGCCCATGTCAATAAATCAAACGCAGAGTCCAGGAATGGGTCCAGGCTTTTAAAAAATCTTGATCCCCACAATAAACCCCCCAAAGCTCATCTCATCTTAATCAATCAAAAAATAATCAAAAAAAAATTTTAAAAAGAGAAAAAAAACCTTGTTTTAACCAAAGTTTTGAGCAATTGTAAAAGGTTAGGAAAGACAGCGATTAAATCAGGATTTGGCTGGGTACATACAACAATTCCATTTTTCATTCCACCATTTTTTTCATAAATTAGCCTTTCTTTTATTGAAAAAATTTGTTTTTCAAATTCTTCTATTGGTGCAGAAGTTAAAATTGGGTACAAATTGGAATGTGTTTGAACTGATTTTTGGGCTGATATTGCATCTATTGGCATTTCGGCACTTGACATTTCGAAGGATATGCGGTCCAGGTTTTTGAGTATTTCTGAGATTCTGTGGACTATACGTTCAATTTCCTTAAAAATTAATTTTTTTAATTTTTAAATTGGAAAAATCTAGATGAAGACGTTTCGGCACATACTTATAAAATCAAAAAAAAAGCATAATTATAACTTAGAGGGTTAACTTAATTTAGATAAAGTAAAATTATTCAAAAATTTTGAGGCACTCTATTGAATAACTTACATTATACGCCCAACTCGTTTTTAATATTTGCTATAAAGGAATTAATTATAAAAGTTAGGTAATTGATAAGAATATTAAAAATGTTTAGGATTTTTCTATTTAGTCAAAAATTAAAAAATTTTTTCTGGCTAAAAAGTAAATAAAAATTTTGTTTATTCCTGCCCTCTATTTACAAAAATATATAAATCAAAAATGAAAGGGTTGACGAAAAAATAAGAGAAAAACAAGAATAGTTAGGAAAAAGTAATTTAATATACTATTGTTTTTTTCATTTTGCAAATTATCAAGTCCACAAAAAATCAATCGCATAATCATTTTTAAAGATTGAAATTTAACCAATCTGAGGCAGGAATGAATAAAAAGAAAATTTGACTCAAATAGGGGTGGGGGTTTATGAACAATGTACCGAATCAGGTGTGTGTGTGTGTATCAGGGAACGAGCTGTTCAGATCCTCGAAAATCAAAAAAGACATTACATAAAAGGAGAACAACCAGTCAAAATCGTTTTCCTTAAAAAAAACCCTAACGCCGAAACGTCCCCATAAACCCCCCAAAAACCTCAAAAAATTATTCAAAACAAACCCTTCTAATTTCAATCCATTCATCATAATCGAATTTAAAAGAACCTCCAAATTCTTTAGGTATTTGGCTATAATCAATATATTTTGTTAAGGCATCAGGAGAGACCATTTGAAGTTCAAATTTTGTATATTTTGCTGTGGATATTTTATATTTGTCGAGAAATTTTTCTGGTTTTATTATATAAACACAATTGATTTTGGCTGGGAAATATTCCTAGAAAATATATAAAAAAATTATTTTTAGAAGAATCAAACTCATTATTAGCAAAATATTTGGTTAACCAAAATAGACAAACCAAGTCCCAATGAAAAATTATTTAAAAAGAAATTGGTGGCGCCTACCCAAAAACCGCCCAAAAATAAAAATTCATTTAATCGAAAAAAATCCAAAAATTTTTAAACTCATGTAGAGTTATCGGTGTCAGCAAAATTTATGATTAACTAAAAACAACAAAACCAAATCCCAATAAATTTAAAAAAACCTGTAGAGATTTTAAAATAGGCTTTACAACATCCCAAGAAGTTCCTCTTCTCATATCCAAAACAATTACAAAACCTCTAGATTTAGCGTCATCACTAAAAAAATAAAAATGAATAGGAAATAATTAAAAACGTAACCAAAGAGGAGCCCCCCTCCCCCCAAGCTTCTCAGAGTTTTTAAAAATGATTCCACCTCGCCAAAAATTATTTTTCATGACTCGATCTGTCAGAGATGTCACGGGCTGAGAAAAAAGTCCGGGTGGGGCAAAATTTCTTGGGTTAGCTTATAGGATACGGGTCGAAAAAATCGCGTTTGGGTTCCCTAGTAACTGTTTGACATAAAAATAAATTAACAATTTTATTAAAAAATTTTTTATTGATTGGAATACCCCAAAAATTTAACGTCCATGTTAAGAGTTTACTCTATTGTGGACGGTATTCTGCTGATACAAAATTAATAGACTAATTAACAACGTAGTAAGGAAGAAGGAAAGGAATTCTCCTCCTTTTGGTATTTTCAAAAAATATTTCCCCCACTATTTAAAAATGAGGAATCCTTCCGAAAAATCTAAAATTGATTCCCTCTTCACTATAAGCCTATTAAAAATTTAAAAAACAAATAAAAATAAAAAATTTCAACTAACGCAGTAACATCATATAAATACAACAATAAATTCCTGACATGTTCAATATTCGAATTAATATCTCTAGCTGGACAAAAAATTATTGGAGAATTGTCACGATCACGAACACCAGGTAATAAAGCTATTCGTTCACGCAAAATGTGTTCCATGTCTTCCACACGACGTAAAAAGGTATTTGAACAAGTTGGGAGAGATTGGTGGTGTTGATGCATATTATTTAAATTTTAAAAATGGTGGCAGTAGTTGGATTGAAGAAATTAAATTAAAATTAAAATTAAATTAAAATGAAGATTCTAAGTGTAGATTTAAGTAATTTAAGTAAATTTAGTTATAGGCCATTTATTAATTATCTGAAAATAAAAATAAAAATTAAGAGATGTTTGAAGTGAAGAAAAAAGTGAAGCAAAAAATGAGAAAATAATATGGGTAAGACAGATCAAAAATAAAATGAAGCAAACCTAACAAAATCGAAGCAAAAAATTAAAAATGAAGCAACACAACTATTAAAAAATGAACATAAAGCAGAAAAATAATAACTGAAATATGATTAAACTGAAGCAAAAATAAACATTGAAGCAATCATAAAAAATGAAGCAACTAGAAAATAAAAACAGAAGCAAGCCTAAAAATTTAAACAGACCTAAAAATAAAGTAAAAAATGAATAAAAAATGAAGCAAAAAATTATTAAAAATAAAACAGTGTAGCATGAAGCAAGAAATAAAGCCTAAAGCAAATTGTCAAAACTTGAAGCAAAATTACAATTAAAAATTAAAAAAGTGAAGCAAAATAGAGGAAGAATAAACAAAATACTTCTAAATAATCAATAAATACAACACGAAAATTAAATTAAAAACTGAAACAAGAACGACTTGATTTAAATAAAAAATGAAGAAAAAAATAATTGAAAACATAAAGTGTAACATGAAGCAAAAAAATAAAACCTGAAGCAAATTGTAAAAAACATGAAGCAAAATAGGGGAAGAATAGAGAAAACACTTTTACATAATCGATAAGTACAACACAAAAATTAATTAAGAACCGAAACAAGAACGACTTGATTTAAATAAAACCTGAAGCAAAAAATAATTGAAAACATAAAGTGTAACATGAAGCAAAAAAAAAATAAAACATGAAGCAAAATAGGGAAAGAATAAAGAAAATAGTTTAAATAATCGATAAGCACAAAATAAAAAAATATTTAAAAAAAATTGAAGCAAAATACGACTTGATTTAAATAAAAAATGAAGCAAAAACTTGAAGCAAAAAAAGGGAAATAGGGGTAAAATTTAAAAAAAACTAAAAATTAAAAGGTTAAATAAAGTATAAAAAAATTTTTTATTTCTCGGAAAAAAAAGAATAATGACGTAAAGATGATCAATCAAATAAAAATCAAATACTAAATGAATCAAAAACGAAGGAAAAACTTCCGTAATTTCAAGGACGTTAAAAACAAGCTTAACAGAAAATAACGGGAGAAGCAATTAAATTGATTAGAGACTAAATATGCGAGATAGTAGAGTAGTGTTAATTAAAGTGAAGAGAGTCTAGACAATTAGAGAAAGAAAAGAGAGAAGAAGAAAAATAAATAATGAAAAAATTAAAATACAGAATGCCAATACATCTTTTAATTAAACTGAAGCATTTATTCAAACAATAAACATATTTTGCCAAAACGACATTTTGCCAATAAGGGTAAAACTCTACATTTTGTCAACAAAGTCTGTCGACAAAATGTGTAATTTTAGCCTAGTTGGCAAAATGTGTTTTAGGCAAAAATGTAAACATGCTTCTTTCTTTAAGTAAGCTTTTTGTTCTTACCTAGGCTTGGTTTTTTGGTCATAACTTCGTGGAAAATGCCTGGTTTTTATCAATTTTGGACCCATTCTCCCCGGCTCGATGAGAGGAAACGTTTAATACTAAATTTGGAAAGATTAGGAAATCTTGAAGCAAGTTATGGCTCTGCGCCGTTATAGCCACGCGTCGTTTTGGGGTCTGCCCCTGATTCTTTAGTTGATTTTTTTTATTTTTAAAAATTTTTCTTTTCTTCTTTTAATCATTTTAATTATATTTTGACTATTTTAGACTTAAAATAAATATAGAAAAATGTTAATTAAAGTAAAGACTTTAACTGGCAAGGAAATTGAACTTGATATTGAGCCAACAGACAAAGTGGATCGAATCAAAGAAAAGGTGTGCTTTTTAATTTTTTAAATATTTTATTAAAAATAAAATTTAGGTAGAAGAAAAAGAAGGAATTCCTCCGCCACAACAACGTTTAATTTTTGCTGGGAAACAATTGAGTGATGACAAAACTGCTCAGGAATGTAAAGTAATTTGGGGGTTTTTTAATTTTTGAAATTTTTGTTAGATTGGGTGAATCTTGGTTGTGATATATAATATAAAGAGGGAGTAATACTGATCTCTTGTCCTCCATTTTCTTCTCAAAATGTATTTTTGTTGAGTTGCCTAGGAGGGAGGGAAGTTTGACCATTAGGTGTAGGGTTCTGGTTTTCGAGTCGCACCCACGTTCGTATCATTTTTAGGGCTTTATTTTTTTCGAGCCGCCCGACCGATTTTTTTCGGCCAAAATTCGATGTCCGACTCGATCTTTCGGGCCGGACCGGGCCCCCAACTCTAATTATGTGCATATTTTAATAAATAGGGGGTCGAGCATGGAGATAGTTATTTCCAAAAATAATTTTTGAACTTGTCCGCAAAAAATTGCGGACAAGGATTTTATTTTTATAAAAATTTTGGCTCTTGTCCAGTTTATGCGTCCCATGAAAGTATATGCGTCCCATCAACAAAAAATTGAATATTTCTTGGTGTTGCAAAGTAGGGGTATGGTTCCAAAGCATTTCTTCATGTTCGGGATCTACGTCCACTGGGTCTGGGACCATTCCTTACCCTATCCTTCGAAATTTCTGAAAGTTATAGCCAATTTTTAAAAATTTCAGAAAAACGATTTTAACTTTCAGAAATTTCGAGGTATAGGGTAAGGAACGGTCCCAGACCCAGTGGACGTAGATCCCGAACATGAAGAAATGCTTTGGAACCATACCCCTACTTTGCAACACCAAGAAATATTCAATTTTTTGTTGATGGGACGCATATACTTTCATGGGACGCATAAACTGGACAAGAGCCAAAATTTTTTCTTTCCTAACTATAAGTTTTCCAAACAATCTTCCCTTTAAATATAAGAAAATCTTTTCTTTTTAAGATTGAAGGTGGTTCTGTTCTTCATTTGGTTTTGGCACTACGTGGAGGCGATGGAGACAAATTTAATTTTTGAAAGACGATCTTGGTTTATTTAAATAAATATTTTTTCTAAAACAACTTAATTTTTTGTTTGAAAATTACACACTTAAAAATATAAAAAAATATTTGTTTTATTTTAAAATAGGTTTTTTTTGGAGTTCACCCTTTAAGACTTAACTTGAGGATCTACAACTTTTGAAGGGGATAACGAGGGTTTAGGAGATATCAAGAGATTTGGTGTGGTTGAAGGGGATATTATAGATTAGAGGTCGGCGCGGGATCACGGGCGGGTTTTGCGGGATACTTCCCCCTTACTTTTCGATTTACGGGAGTGCGGGCTTATTCCCGCGGGATCACGTCCTGCGAACCGTTTTTTAAAGTTGCTTCCGCATGCGGGATCCCGTAAACACGATTTTGCCGACATCTAATTTAGATAGATCTCTTCTCACCCAGGGTTAAAAAATACACTCCAAATACCGCATCATGTGTTTAAAATAAGGAACTATGTACTTTTCTCCACAGAGCCTATTTATCCCACTTTATCTCTATTCCTTTTCAAAGTTTGTAGATCTTCACGGTCAATAGGTCTTTAGAGTGTAATTCTTCGGGGCTGACCCTATTTTTTGGAACATGTTTTATTTAATTTTTACACGTCTTCTCTGCGAACTTAATCTTCTTGAACAATTATTTTTCAATTTTGGATTTTTGGAAAGAGAATTCATGTGGTAAGTTGCTTAAAAACCTTTTTTCATCTCAAACTCGCCGTTATCTAACCAAGGAAAAAATTGAAAAATTTCAGATTTTACAAAAAATTTTATCGAGAAGGCCATTTACCAAAAAAATAAATTTTATAAATTTAAGGTAGGCAGTTGGTGACCGTTTACCAACCGGCACTCTCGATTTTCTTTTAGTCCAAATTTTAAACCCGATTTTCGGTTTTGAATTCTAGTCAAATATTGGCGTTTGTTAGTATGTGAAGATTTTTTTCCCTAAAAATCACTCATTTTTAAAAGTTCTGCTCTAATTTGTAAGAGCTTTATTGAACAACTACCCCTAAGCTCGATTTGATTTTTTCACCTAAGACTTTCCCTTCTACCCTATCAAAAAAATTTCAAACATTTACAAAAAATTTATTCCAAAAACACATTTACATACAAAACAAATTTACAACAAATCTAATAGAATATATTATGAGGCATATGTACATATTACACACAAGGAAATTTGGGAATATACAACATATAAATGAATGCAAGATAACAACAAAGGAAAATATGAGTTTAGATATTATATTCAGTTCATTTTTATCTATTTAGAATTCTTCCCCCTCTGTGGCAGTTCCTCCTCGGCCGTCTCTACCGGTTCTTCAGTGCGCGTCCCACCATCCCGACTCGGTGTTGCAACCAGCTTCTTTCCCGTATCGTCAACTGGAAATGGCTCGGACTCCACTTTGGGCACATGATATACTGAAAATTAAAGAATTACCCAAAGACTCCTTTTCACTTATTCGAGTACCTCTCTTCGGCTTGCGTGGTTCTTCCTCCTCAATTGGAATGAGCTTACACCGCTTATTCCAGAAGCCTTTAGCGCGCGTAAGTATTTCACACACGTCCTCGGCTGCGGTCGAGATCAGCTTCAGTGGAGGGGCATCCCGTTCGAGCTTGAGTACCACATTTTTCTTTTCAGTGATACTCTGTCGGATAGCCTGTAAATTAAAGAATGAAAATTGTTTACAAATTTTTGCAAAAATTTTATTTACCTTTTTAGCTGCATGGAAGTCATTGACTTCCTTGCCGTTAACGTCCCGCAATATGTCGCCTGGAAGGATGTACTGCGCAGCTACACTGCCTGGCTCAATGTGCGAGACGATGATATTAGATCCCTGGAATTGAAAGCTATTATTAAGGACTAGCCCTCACTACTCAATCAATTACCTTCTTGTCCCAGTTGATCCCCACTGGGAGATCTTCTCGCCATCTGATCTGCAGCTGGATGAAATTGCGGCTCGGGTTTCGCCTGGCTTGTGTGACTTTGAGGTTGATCATTCTGAAGTAGTCGTCCCTGCGGAAACGGATGAACAAGGGTTTGGGTTCAGCGCCAGAATACTGGGTTGCTGCCGTGAAGTCTTCTGCCGAGTTTATGGCCTGAAAAATGGACGTTTAAACAGAGTATTACCCTAATAATCGCAGAAACTTACATGTTTGTCAATCTGCAAGATCCAGTCTCCAGGGAACAACCATCCAAAGAAGTAGGAGAAGATGTCGATCTTCTGGATCCGCGGCGGCGAGCTCCCACTGAAGAACGTCAGTCCCATGTCCGAGTCTTGGATCTCGATGGTATCCTCATGCTCATGAATGTACTTCTTAGCTGAAAAAGAAAAAAAAGTTAGTTTAGAAAACAACCCAAAAACAAAAAAACATACATCCACGTTTCTCGGCCATTGTACTGAGACGCCAAAGCAAGAGTGAGCAGCACAGCGACGAACCAAAAACGGCCTTTAGTTGAGCACAGCGTTGTCGTAACGAAGTGCAGTGAGTTGTGAGCTGGGTGGTATATGCAGTCTTTTAATGGGCTTTTATACTAACTTTCTTCCCAACAGTTACATTTTTGGTATAGACACGGTTTTTTAAAATCAATTTACATATTCTGACTTCTACGAATTAAAACTAGGCTTGTTGGCTCCCTCGGGGTTTTGTCAAGCCAAATTTTAAAAACCGGTTTTATTTGTTGTGTTTTACTTAGTTATCTGGTTTTGGTTGGGGGAGGGTTTAAAAAAATCCAACTCTGATTGGATAACTTTATTTATTGCGTTATTCAAATTCTGATTTTTTTAATTCTGATTTTTTAAAGCTCTGATTATTCCTTTATGTAAATATTTTCCTAAATAAGATTAAGTCTTGATCTCGCCTTTTTTGAGAAGACAACCAAATTAATTTTTGTTGTTGACTATAAAAGCCTTCAAAAATCACTTCATTTTCATCTCTCCAAACAACAAAAACTTCAAAGCACCAAAAACGACAACAACAACGAGTGCTCCACCGCCACCCGAGCCGCCAAAGGAGGACGACGCGCCGCCGCCACTAGCTGCTCCTCCTGCTCCACCGCCAGCGACAATGAAAGCACCGAGTGAGGCATCAACCAAGAAGAGGGAAAATCTGCTGGATCTCTGCCACCTCCGTCAGCCAGTCCAAGTGGTGCTACTATTGGTCTTCGGCAAGTTGAAGTCAAAGTTTCAGCGACGTTCGCCCGGCGTTGCAGAAATGGCTCGATGGTCAGGATAAGCTGTTCGAAGCGACTGAGAAGAGTAGCGGCCTTGAATGTGAAAAGGTGGTGGGAATTTTTTAAAGTTTTTCCCAATCTCTTTTCTATTTTTCTAGATTTTCTGTGCCAGCTGCGGTTTTCTTTTCCTCTGGTTGCTTGCTGCTCCAGGTGCTGATCTCATCTTTAACTTGATTGGTGTTGTCTATCCTACCTATGCCTCAGTTCTGGCTTTGCGTTTGGCTGGGAAAGGTCTTTAAAAAACTTCCTTTCAAACTCGACAATATATTAATTAAATTTCAGAGGACGACACGCAGTGGCTCGTGTATTGGACTACCTATGGAACCTTCTCTCTTGTGGATCAATCTCCGGCCGCATCACTCCCTACTTACCGCTGTATTGGCCGCTCAAAGCGCTCCTCCTTCTCTACTTGTATTTGCCTCAAACTTATGGAGCGCAGAATATGTACGTCAAGTACCTCGGCCCGGCGTTCGATAAGTTGGCGAAGTGAGTCTTTTTTAAGGAGTTTTTTGTAAACGTAAATTTCTCATTAATTTTTATACGAGTGGAGGCAATGTAGAAGTTAGTTCAATGAGCTTGGATGATGGTGGTAATTGCTGATTGAGAGTCGGATATCGTTGGTTATCAATGAACTAAGAGGGATAGAGGGATTTGGATAACGTTGACGGATTTGTGTTGATATCAAGTGCTTGAGAGATTAAGGTTGATATGGGGGCATTATTTAATATCAACGTGGATATGAGAAATACAGAGTAAGCAGATTCATATAACTTATATGTAGTAAGATACTCAGGTGATCAGATCAAAATCTAAAATAATAATATAATCTTCACCGTTATGTCCTCAACCAGATTCAAGTTTAATATCAAGAGACAGTGGATCACCTAACTGATTAGGATTTTCAATTATGCTTAACTAATCAATGGATTCAATTTAGGATTTTCAATTATTATTATAGACAACCCGATCACCTAACTGATTAGGATTTTCAATTATGCTTAACTAATCAATGGATTCAATTTAGGATTTTCAATTATTATTATAGACAACCCGAATCAATGGATTCAATTTGCGATTATAGACAATCCGACTTCAACGCGAAGGACTAATCAATGGATTCAATTTGCGATTATAGACGACCCGAAGAGAACTCGAAGGACTAATCAATGGATTCAATTTGCGATTATAGACAACACGACTTCAACGCGAAGGACTAATCAATGGATTCAATTTGCGATTATAGACAACCCGAATCAATGGATTCAATTTGCGATTATAGACAATCCGACTTCAACGCGAAGGACTAATCAATGGATTCAATTTGCGATTATAGACAACACGACTTCAACGCGAAGGACTAATCAATGGATTCAATTTGCGATTATAGACAACCCGACTAGAACGCGAAGGACTAATCAATGGATTCAATTTGCGATTATAGACAACCCGAAGAGAACTCGAAGGACTAATCAATGGATTCAATTTGCGATTATAGACAACCCGACTAGAACGCGAAGGACTAATCAATGGATTCAATTTGCGATTATAGACAACCCGAAAAGAACGCGAAGGACTAATCAATGGATTCAATTTGCGATTATAGACAACACGACTTCAACGCGAAGGACTAATCAATGGATTCAATTTGCGATTATAGACAACCCGACTAGAACGCGAAGGACTAATCAATGGATTCAATTTGCGTTTATAGACAACACGACTTCAACGCGAAGGACTAATCAATGGATTCAATTT